TTAATTGGCACTAAAGAGTTTGAATCAAGAGAAATTTAAGGAAAATTAAAGCCCACTTTTTTCAAAATACCCTTTTAAGGGAAGATTTGATGAATAAACGCTCCTTGTTCCTCTCTTAAATGCTTGATTTTATAAGGAAAGTTTCACATTGTGTTGAATGTTTTTGTTTTCAAAAACAAAATCGAAAATACAAATAAAAAGTTAAAAATTTCATAACGTGTTTATTATCAATTTAAAGAAATGTTTAAAAATGTAAATAAAACAACATTTAATATCGTTTTTTATGATTAAATATAAAATATTTTTATAAATTTGAAAATGAAAATATAGAAAATAATTTATTTATTATTTTTTTTTTTTTATGTTTGCTTTTAGAAAATAAAAACGATAAGTGAACAAATATCATATGTTTTATAAGATAAATAGGGAAAATAATATATTCTTAATTTTATATAAAAGTTCTTCTTTCTTTTAATTATAGATAAATAGGGACAAAATTATAAATCTTGGGATTAAAAATTAATATGGTCCAAGTATTACAAGTCTGTTTGGCTTATTATTTCTACCCATATTCTCGATCATATTCCCCAAATATTGTTTGACACATTATTCCATAAAATTAGTCTATTCTTTTAATTATTTTTAAACCCCTTAAGTTTATTAATTTCACTAAATACCCCCAGAAAAAAGTTTAAAAGTTAGCAAAAACACTCCCACCCACCAATACTTGCCAAATTCCGGCAACCACGTCGGTGGTAGCCGGAATCTGTCACAATAGTCACATCACCACCGGAAATGGTCGGTAATTTATTGATCTGGCCGTTAGCGACGACAAAAGAAATGGTCGTCGTTATATGGACCTTTGCGGCCATCGACAACCACATTTGGCATTAGATCTGACCTTTTCCGGCCAGATCCGTGATGGATCTAGCGGGAAAATGCCATATCGACGCGTTACGACATAGATCCGACCGATCTGTGTGGTAATGTAATTTTTTGGCTTGATTCCGACAGTGGTGGTCAGGATCTAGCACTACGGGTGATGGGGGTGTTTTTGTTATTTTATATATTGGGGTGTTTAATTAAATTAGCAAACTTATGAGGTTTTTTTTATAAATTTTAAAATTTTACCTCGTAATACTCCCATATTTAATTATCAAATACTATCCCTAAAATTTTATCCAAAATAATAAACTAAACACAACCGTAGTCTCATACATTGAACAAATAACTAATTGAGAACATTTAATATCATAAATAAATGCCCAATTTTCAGATAGGATATGATTGAACGACGGAATATTCTTGAGAATATGCTAAAAACACTGGCGTAGTATGCTTGAATTGGAATGGGAATGGGATTAATGAATTTAATGAAATAATTTTCAACAAATATTATAAAAATCATCCCACTGATACTTAGGGGTGTTCAAAAAAATGTAAAAACCGAACCGAACCGAAAAACCGGTTAACCGAAAAAACGGTTCGGTTACGGTTCGAAAAATTCAAAAAACCGAATTTTCGGTTCGGTTACCGGTTTGGGAAAAATTAGAAACGGTTAACCGAAAACCGGTTTTCTAAACCGGTTTTTCAAATATATATATATATATATATTTATATATATATATAATAACCTAAACTAAAATAAATCCCTAATTCATTCAATCTAAAATCTCAACCCAAATTTTTTTTCTTAGTTTCCAATGTATTGTCTATATTTGCAATTTAATTTAGGACAAAAAAAAAAAAGTTTTATAAAAAAAAAGGGAAAACCGGTTCAAAACCGGTTAACCGCTTTTTTTAAAACGGTTAACCGGATTTTCGGTTAACCGAAAAACCAGTTTTCCCTAAAACCGGTTCGGTTTCGGTTCGGAAATTTTTCTGAACCGAAAATCCGGTTCGGTTTAGAAAAGCGGTTAACCGGTTCGGTTAACCGCTTTTGAACACCCCTAATCATTGCCACCATTTGATGTTAATTGACCATCAATCTTTTCCTTATTCTTTAATTTGGTTTTAACATCTTTAGTAGAGATTATATCTCTACCATAAATCATGGTGTCTCTAAAATGTTTGTACAAGGGTGACAAAGAACATAATAATAATAGGGTTTTATCCTCATCATCAATCTTAACATCAATTCTCTCTAAATCTGTAATAATTGAATTAAATTCATCAATATGAGACTAGATAGACGTACCTTCAGCCATACGCATTGTGTATAATGATTTCTTCTCACCAACTGATTTGGTCATTTGTATGCTCTCCAATTTCACCCATAATCCTGCCGCCGTCTTTTCATCGAGGCATTCTCGCAAAACTTCATCAGAAAAATTCAATCAGATCTCTGACAAGGGTCTTCGATCCAGTTTATGCCAGTATGTATCAGAAAGTTTTTGTTTAGCCCAATCTTCATCTGTTATGTCATCATGTTTTGACAGCCTTCCTTCTAAAGCAACATCAAGTCCTTATTGTACAAGAANAAAAATCATCTTTAAAATATTCTTCATATTAAAATTAAAACACCACACATTCAACATGATTGTTTAATAAAATATATTTATAAGATAAACTTTTTAGGGTAAATAAATAAACAATATTGTAAAAACATTAATGTGATGGAGTATTTTAGGAAACAACAAACTTTGTATTTTACCAAAAAGTGCTCAACAAAGTCACTTTGCAATTTGTATGCTTTTTTATACGCAAAAAAATACTATTATTAATTCCTCAAAGGAAGCATTGCCAAATATATATGAAAATAAAGGACCTTTTTTTATTCACTAACACATGCGGCGTTTAATCTTTGTCAGCCAATAACAAAAATAATTAATTTACATACGTTTATTTGTAAAATAAAAAAAATAAAAACCCTACTATCATTCTTCAAAGCAGAAAGAAAAAAAAAAAAAAAAAACCTTATAAAATTAGGGCTAAAGACATTGATCCTTTGACATTTTGATTAAATAATAGAAATCACTCTATCCATACTGAATAATTAGGGATTTCATTATTATGAGTTAATAATATTTATTCAATATCTTCTAAGCATATAATTTAAAGTTATAATTTAACAACAAGGAATTTTGTTATTGTAGAAAAAACTTAAAGGGTTTTTGTTATTAACTATTAAAATTATTAAAGGCCACTCCCGAGCAATGTTTTGAAAACTAGATCGGACAGACCGGTCAAACCGATTCGACCAGTGATCGACGCCCCCTTTGGTCTAGTTTACTATTTTCAACTGTTCACCAAATCCCTAATTTAATCATGGACAAATGATGGGTTATCAAGTGCCGGAGTTAGAGGGGTTTTATAGAGTAGAGGCCAGTGGTTTAAAGAGTGGTGTGGGATTGAATTTTGGACACTGGAATTTGGCTAGAAAAATCAATCCAATATGCAAGTCATGACTGGTGAACGAGGGGCTACCAAGTGTTAGGGTTAGAGGGTTTTGTAAAATGGAGGTCGGTGATTCAAGTGGTGGTGTCGGACTAAATTTTGGCCACCAAAATCAGCCATAATGTGGCCGAAAAAATCAAAACCTTAACTGCTGTAGGGGGTGTGTTTGCAAGATTTCATACCTACATAAACTTATCATATTTTTAGAGGTGTTTTTGTAAGATTTCAAACTTTTTGGATCACGGGCAGCATGCCAGTTTAACTGGTTGGATCGTTTAACTTAGGACCCAACCCCTTGGCCAGGTGGCACCTTGGGTCAGGTTTTAGAACATCGCCCACAAGAGTATGAAAAAAAAAAAAAATCCTTATTAAAGCATTCAAAAACTCTTGATAGAAAATATTTAATGGTGACTATTAGAAAATAAAAAAATAAAAAATGGAAGCCCAACTTCTATGAGTTTGACCGAATAAGAAAACTAAAAGAAAGAATAATGACTTCTACTTTCCAAAAAATTGCCAATCAAAAATAATAAATCCAAATATTCGAATGAAGAAAGCAGTCAAAATCTACACATTATCCTAATTGATCTTATATTACCGAAAGAGTAACTTGCATCAGCCGTCCATTTTGACAGAGACTTCAATAATACTTTTATAGTCTCTCATTATCTTTATCTACAGTCTACACTACACAAAGCCATTGTTTAATTACTATTATTAATATAATATTATGTGATTAGTAAAGTAAAGTAATTATCCGTACCAGTTGATAAGAATTATTAAGTGTATTATTTAAGAGATTTGATATATTATTAAAAAAATATTGAGTTCGAGTCTCTTTTTGAATATTAACAGAAGTAATTTTTAGAATTTTAACATGACTGATAGTTTTAAAGTCCTAAAGAATTAATTGAAGTATGCATAAACTGACCAATAGTTTTAAGGTCTCATAAGATTAAGTAAGGTGAACGTTAATTAGTAACCAGTATAACTCTTATCCGATTGATAGCTCTCGATTTATGAAAGATTAATTAGCCGCCTCATCTTTATTGACGTGGCTAATCATTATCCTCTTTATTTTTTTAATAATTATTAAAAAATAATTGTATTCAAATCAAACCATTTATTCTTCAAAATATGCTCTTTATACCCTTGACAGTTGACATCACCCCATTCCACCAACCACGACCATCGTAATTTACTAATTAATTTCCTAATAATTAAAACCCATAAGACAGTTTTTTTAAATAATATTATTATACCAAGACATAAAAAAATAAAATATAATTGATTAAATATAATTTTAACAATAGTCTAAAATATTAAAGTTGAGTAAAATTAATTTCCAAAAGGGTTTTTTTTTTTTTTTTAAAGAAAGAAAGTAAACATAATAAGTGAAGTGTCATCGGACTCCAAAAGCCATTTAAATAGAGTTAGTTCCCCACAAATCCACAATCAATAAACCAGTCTTTTCTCTTTTTATTTTTAACTTTTCTCGTCCAATCATAATTAATTCCGCTCTTTATTTTATTATTTTTATTTTAAAGAGCGAGAGAGCGAGTTTTTTGGAAGTCTTCTTGTTAGTGAAGAAGAAGAGAAAAAATTGTAAAAAGAAAAAAAAAAAAAAAAAAGGTTCACATTCAAGTCTCTTTCTTGTAACAGTCTTTAACTTGTCAATCACTTGTTCCAGCTTTAGGGTTTTGCTCGTTTTGCACCTAATTTCGGTAATTAAGTTTAATTTTTTTGTTTTTTGTTTTCTACTCACTTTAAGCGTTTTTTTTCGGTTAATTTTATGAATGTTAGTTCACTTGTTTCTTCAATTTTATTTTGGTTTTTGCTAGTTCGGAAATTTTGACGGTGTTTGCTTTTCTGTAATTGGAGCGCTTTTGAATTTAAATTTGGTGTTTCGAAACACGCATGAAGCTTGTTTATACTGAATTTGATTAATTTACAAGTTCTGGTGATTTTCTTAATAATTCATTTCTTGACTGGAAGAGGGTAAAGCCGAATTATAGCATTGGAAGTTTATCGGGTGTTGGGAATTAGGGAAATTAATTAAGATGATTTCGTTTGAAAATTGAATCTTCTGTTGGGTGTTCAAGTCAATGAGATTATTTTTCAATTTTGGATTCGTCAGGTATTGTGTCTTCTTGTTGTAAAGTAGTTCGAGTTACTATGATGTTATTATGGCTTTTCGTAAAATCATATTAACGGAAACTGATGCTTAATGGTTGTGTTTTAAATTGGTTTTGTGTTTTAGTGGATGGGTGATTCCATGAAGCAGACTTTTGACAATTCTTCAGGTAATCCCGACATCTGTTATCATGTTGCTTTGGAGAAAAAAAATTAGGCTTTCTTGTTATAAAGTCTTATGAATGATGTGTATAGGTACTACTAAGATTCCACCGCTGAGTATGCCTAAAGAACTGGGTAGCGGTGTCTGGGGGACTATAGCTAGATCTGATGCGTATCATGCCTCAAGTGATGCGTCGCTTTTCTCTAGTTCATTACCCGTTCTTCCACATGAGAAGTGTATGTATAGCTGTTATTTAAAGAATTTATGTTCCCTTTATTACTATCAGATTTCTTACATTTTTTAACTGGACGTAGTGAACTTGAATGTGGCGGGTCTTGGTCGTCAATCTGTTGATGATATCTCATCTGACTTAAATAAGGACCATCAAGGTGTGGAGGGAGGTGATTCAATTGAAGACAATGCGAATTCTGTGACTGAAGGCTTTCTTCCGGATGATGAGGAAGAGCTTTTAGCTGGTATTATGGATGATTTTGACCTGAGTGGTTTGCCTTCTTCACTTGAGGACTTGGAGGACTATGATCTTTTTGACAGTGGAGGGGGTATGGAATTGGAAAACAGTACTCAGGAGAGCCTGAGTATAAGCATGTCAAAGGTAAGTTTATCCGATGGGGTTGTTGGGAATGGTTTGCCCCATTATGGTCTTCCTAATGGTGTGGGAACTGTTGCTGGAGAACATCCATATGGCGAGCATCCTTCGAGAACATTATTTGTTCGGAATATTAATAGTAATGTTGAGGATTCAGAACTGAGAGCTCTTTTTGAGGTAACCAAGTTATTAATTTGGCAGAAAATCTCGTCTTTATATGTTGATAAGATCTGTGTTTGTCTAATCACCCAATTTTTGTTGACTTACCATTCAATCAGTTTGTTGAAATATTAGTCATTATTCTGCATTAAATATGATAAGAGTGGGTACTAAGTATGACTCATCATTGATTCCGAGATTCTTACATATTTTTTACGAGACAATATTTAAGGAGTCATAAACCTTATAAATCATTTGTGCTTGGCAGATTTTTGAAATAGTCGATCAATTTTTAACTCTTGTTGGTATATATGTTATTAAAATATTTTACTCTTAATTTGGGAAATAATTAATCTTATTAATTCTGTTCCAAACATTTGTCACATGTCATGAAAAGAAGGATGTCACAATAAGATGACCCACTTTATGTGATGCTAGTTGGGCTTTTCAGTTAAAAAATTTCGGTCTGCTCATGGTAATTAGTGACATGGAAGGTGTTCATTTGCCTAAAAAGGATGGATTTGTATGAACTTTTCTGTAAAATGATAATAGTGGTAGTACAGTGCTGACCTGTAGTATTGTAATTGGTATAGACTTTTTGTTTGGTTCATATGGGACTGGTAGAATTAGTGAAATCACAATGGCAGTAGTCTGGTGCTGCTGTCATATTGAAACTTTCCATCTTGAAATGAAAAATGGCACGGGTATGGACTTCATTATTTGTTAAATGTCTATATTTAGTTCATAAGCTGCAGGCTGATTGCTTTGCTCATTATTGAGCACCCTGCATTAACTCAATAGATCTTTATTAACATGAGTAAATTGTTTTTTTGGTGTATTTATTGTGCTTTTTTTTCTTGGAAGCAATACGGCGACATTAGAACTCTGTACACTGCATGCAAACATCGGGGCTTTGTGATGATATCATATTATGATATTCGTGCTGCTCGAACTGCTATGCGTTCACTACAGAACAAGCCCCTCCGACGGAGAAAACTTGACATTCACTTCTCAATTCCAAAGGTTTACTATGGATTATTAACTTCACTCATTTTGTCCCACTTTCTTTGAATGGTAATCATCCCCATTTTTTTGTATTATCAAATTTATTTAGCTATATATGTCTTTTATTGCACCAGGATAATCCATCAGACAAGGATTTGAATCAAGGAACTCTTGTAGTTTTTAATTTGGATCCATCAGTTTCAAATGAGGATCTGCGTCAAATATTTGGGGCCTACGGCGAGGTCAAAGAGGTGACGAATTTCTCTGCTGAAGTTATTCCTTCAAATGGCTTTACATCGTGAAGTCCTTTGCCATTGTATTTTGACATCTGTGCAATTTGGTGTTTATGCAAGGACAGATAAGAGAAACTCCACATAAGAGGCACCATAAATTTATTGAATTTTATGATGTTAGAGCTGCAGAAGCAGCACTTAAGTCATTAAATAGAAGCGACATAGCTGGGAAACGCATAAAGCTTGAACCTAGCCGCCCTGGTGGAGCTCGTCGAAAGTGCGTATATTGATTTTCTTGACTCCTGAATTGTGAATGGTGTATTGACTTGTATAAGTTTGTAATTTTTTTTTTTATCTTTTTCTATTTCTTTTTATTTTTGATTGCCATCTCTTCATTTTTTTGACTTCAATTTTATTTATTATTGTTAATTAATAGCTTCACATCTGATAGCATAAAGGCCTTTGGTACAACTAAAAGGTGAGGTTCAAATCTGATTTGCTGGGGTAGAATGGTGCTCATAATATTCCTTTTTTTTTCCTTCTATTTGTGCATTAAATTTTGTTATGTGAAATGAACCGATGATGATTGTGATTAAATCGCTGCAAAACATTGATGTCTGGGGCTAAGCTAGCATGATAATTGGTTTATATTCTTTAAGTATTGAACTCTTGCAATTTTTTTTTTGTGGTATAATTTCTAGAATTATTATATTTTATGTATTGATTCTTGGCTTATCAATACTGATACCGATGATTTTTTTTTTTTTTTTTGTGGTATAATTTCTAGAATTATTATATTTTATGTATTGATTCTTGGCTTATCAATACTGATACCGATGATTAAAAAATTGACGGGTTTTGCCCTCTGCCCTTTAGCTTGATGCTACAACTGAACCAAGAGCTTGAACAAGATGAATCAAGGGTTTTGCAACATCAAGTTGGTTCACCAATTACCAACTCTCCGCCAGGTAAGGTCCTTCATTGTGCTTTGCGTCACTCATGATCTTATAGTTTTGATTATGTCTACAGTTATTCTTACAGCCTAAGTTTGATGAATTCATGTTGACTTCTGTGGCAGGTAACTGGGGGCAGTTCAGCAGCCCTATTGAACCTAATCCACTGCAAGCTATTAGCAAGTCCCCTGTTTATAGGAACATAAGCCCAACGACAAGCAGTTTGCCTGGATTGGCATCAATATTAAATCCTCCAGTTTCAAACTCTGTAAAAGTTGCACCTATTGGTAAGGACCAAGGAAGGGGTAGTCACATGGAGCATGTATTTACCAATACAAATTCAGCCCATGGAGCTGCATTTCCAGAGTCTCATTCATTTCCAGAGCCAAAGTTGGGCCAACACCCTGGAACCATATCCTCTTTTGGTACCTCAACTTCAAATGGATCTGTTATGGAGACATTATCTGGATCCCAGTTTCTTTGGGGAAGTCCAAACAGATATTCAGAGCATGGCAGTTCTCCAGCCTGGCCAATGCCAACTATGGGGCATCCGTTCTCATCCAATGGAAAGAGCCATGGGTTTCCATATTCTGGTCGCCAAGGCTCTTTCCTTGGCTCTGCTCAGCATCATCACCATCATCATGTTGGATCTGCTCCTTCTGGTGTTCCCTTGGAGAGACACTTTGGTTTTTTCCCCGAGTCTCCGGAAACCTCATTCATGAATCCTGTTGCTTTCCGTGGCATGGGTATAGGACAGAATGATGGAAGTTTCATGGTGAATCATCTTGGTCCTCGTGCTACTGTTAATCCTGGCATTACCATTCCGAGAAATATTTCGGAAAATGGTTCTTCAAGTTATAGAATGATGTCTTCACCCAGACTTAGTCCTGTATTTGTAAGCAACGGCCTATACCCCGGATTGACACCCACCAATATGGAGGGTTTGACTGATCGTGGGCGGAGCAGGCGGGTTGATAATAATGGGAGCCAGATAGATACCAAGAAACAGTTTCAGCTTGACTTGGAAAAGATTAAAAATGGAGAAGATACTCGGGCAACCTTGATGATTAAAAATATCCCAAATAAGTAAGACTAATCTCTATGATGCCTCTGATATATAATACAAAGTAAATGCCTATTCTTGATTGTTGCAATTTTAATAATTCTCTTCAGGTACACCTCAAAAATGTTGCTAGCTGCTATTGATGAAAATCACAAGGGTACTTATGATTTTCTCTACTTGCCGATTGATTTTAAGGTGATTGACCAGGCTTGTGAGGAGGAGAAGATTTGACAATTTTCTTGAAGTCAATTCAAATTTATTGACATTTTTCATTTATGATGCAGAATAAATGCAATGTTGGCTACGCATTTATCAATATGCTGTCTCCTGCACACATTATCCCATTTTATGAGGTTTTATTTTCTAGCTTATTATAAGATTTCCTTTACTATTACTTATTTATTTGACAGTTTTTTAGGCAACTAGCAGCATCCTCAAATTTCCAGCCAATGAAATCCTTGAATATGCTTTCTAGATTACTCATTTCTTCTTACAGGCATTTAATGGAAAGAAGTGGGAGAAATTTAACAGTGAGAAAGTTGCTTCGTTGGCATATGCTCGGATTCAGGGAAAGGCAGCCCTTGTGGCTCACTTCCAGAATTCAAGCTTGATGAATGAAGATAAGCGCTGTCGCCCTATCATGTTTCACTCGGAGGGCCCAGATGCTGGTGATCAGGTAATGCTATTATTTATCATGCTACCAGAATCACGGTTCAGATTAACTATTTTGATGGTGATAAAATTGTTGGAAACTGTAACAAGCAAGAATTTTCGTATAAATCTACTTTATTCAGTTCTTGTCTTGGTACATGATGACTTAAATTGATGTTCCATATTAATAATTTTTGATAATGTGTTTCTTTGTAGATCATCCAAGAGCATATGATTTCCAATAGTTTGAATATCCAAGTTCGTCAGCCAAATGAGTCAGAGGCAGGGGATTCCTCTGGAAGCCCTACAAAGGATAGATCAGGCGAGAAGCCAGAGAAGAGTTGACAGTATAGTGAAAGAAGATTGCTCTCTCTGCCCAAATTTATCGGGCTATGAGTGTTAACTTATGCGTATATATGTAAGTGTAAAAATTTAGGAAGAGATGAACTTGGTTAATGCAGCAGGCCAGATTTTGTATAGTATACGGTTAGAAAGTTTGTGAAACGGCCAGCACTTCATTTTGGTTTGTGGTGGTAGGTTTGTACAAGGGAGGAGAATAATGGGACGATTGTGGATAGAATGCATGATCCACCAGCTGAGCGTCGTGTATCGTTTCCTCTCCATTTTGCCTTCCTTTTTTTGTTATTTATGATCCCGGGTTCGGATAACTTAATTAATTTATGGGTACATGGCAAGTGTTCTCTGGTAATTGAGATTTTAGGGTTCGTTATGTGTTGTGGGATCATTTACAAAAATGTATATAGTGGGAAAACACTGAACTAGACTACCTTTTTGTGTTAATCTTATATTGATATTTATGACATGGAGGTTGTGTATTTGAACGCGCAAGTTTACATGATTCTTCTATCGTTTACTTGTATTTAAAGAATAGGGTTTATTACAGTGTCATCCCTTAGGTTTGTACCAAACACCTTTCTCTCTCTGATTTTGGAAAATTAACGCTGTCACCCCAAATGGCAAATAAATGGCTACAATTTTGGCCTAACAGCTCACAATTTGGGACAATGATTTTGAGTTTTAGTCAATCAATTGATCGTTCTTGTAGTTAAATGTTTTTTCCAAAATGTCTTTTGTAGTGTGTGCATAACATCTATTTTGTGATGCTAGTTCTCATTAGTTTTCTTTCACAAACACAATATGACAATTTACCATTAGTTAGATTATAAATGAGTCTTGTCTGACTAATTACGAGTTGATCAATTGCAAGCTGTCATGTCGCGTTTGTGAGAAAAAGTTAATGAGAAGAGTTTATCTTATCTTTATTGAAAATGTTTTTACACAAAATCATTGTTTTAAAACCCGGATCGGATCTATGGGTCGGACCGGTTTGACCAAGACCCAACAACTTCTTCGGTTCGGTTCAGGTTTTAGGGGTGTTTGTAATATTTCAAATTTATAGGGACTACTCTGTAATTTTCTTAGAGTGTTTTAGAGATATGTTAAAAGTTTAGGGATTAATTGGTAATTTTTTTGGGGCATTATTGAAATAAATAAAAATTTTAGAGACTAATTAAAATTTTGTAGGCATATTTTTGTGATATACTAAAATTTAAGGTATTAATTTATAATTTTTAAAAATAAAACTATTGTTGACGTCACCGGTCCAACCGGTTGAATCAGTCGACCCGTGACTCGGTCACATTACCGGGTCTCACAACGGGTCGAGTTTGAAAACAATGCACAAAATCCTAAGGCTGGCAATGTAAGATTAGAATACTATACATCACTGTCAGATGGGTTTCTGCATCTGAGTTGAAGATCTCATTAACTCATATAAACGGATTATGTGACATTAATTACCACATGATTATCACTTTAAATTGTATGAAAATTTTGCATTATATATAACATTGCTCTCGAAACATGTTGATTTAACTAATAAACAGGCAGCGGAAATATACATAAATTTCATAAAACTTTACTCAAAATACACTCAAAAAAGTTACATCTGCAATAGTAAGCTCCTCGGCTATTGGATTCTCCAACATCTTTCTTCCACTGCACTTCTTCAGTATATACATATATAAAACCGCTGAAATATTAAAGCAGAGGCAAGGCAACAAACAATGCTTTGGAGATAAGTAACTTCCCACTGAACATGAAGAGTGAAGTGAACATTAGCCTGTGATTTCTCAGGCCATATAGGGGGCGGTGATGATACAATGTACCAAATCTTTTGTAGGTGACAGCCTCATACTTTCTCACCTGCTCAAACAAGATTGAAAACAACCATGACCTCGTTGTTTGCACACGCACGAGGATGCCTGGAGAAGTAATTTAGGACGTTCGACTTGAATCGTTATGTCTTCCTCTTTTCGTTTTAAGCTCAAGGTCGACGAGGAAATAACATTTGTTATGCTCTCTGACATAGTTGACGCGGCCGTTCATCATAATGAGAAGTTTCCGGGACAGGTTTAAGCATAAACCCTCCTGTGAAGTCCACTTATTTCCACCATCAAACATATCTTCAATAAGAGCAGCAGGAAGGCCTTTGCCAGGGTGAGCCATTCTACAATAACAACAAAAAGAAAGGATTGGTATGCATGAAAATGCAGTTTAAACAAGCCATATGGGTAAACCATTATACATATAAAGGTGGAAAAAGGAAAATAATTTATGCTAATCCTAGAAAATCAGTGTCAAATGTAGTGAAGGTAGCATAAGATAAAAGTTAAACGTCATTAGATATACAAGTGGTCATATCCAATGAATAATCTTAGTCGTCGTCGTTGTGGTACCTGAACTGTAAATGAATAAAGCTGTTGCCATCCTTTATCAGCCTTAGGCCAGGCAAAATCTTGACCTCTACCCAGCCATCTGGAGAAGGTGTATGATGTACCACATGAAGCAAAAAATCTGACAGGACCAGCTGAAGCCTAATTTGATCACCATACAGTGATAGTGCTTTGATTTCCTCCGGAATCTGAAGAAATAGCTGTAAGTTCTTTTCTCTCAACAAGACCATGACTTGACTAACGATAGCATCTAAAATATCGCCCAGAAGGAATTCGTGCATGTCTCGCTCCATGCTACTGCTACAACCAGGATGATCTTAGATACTTAATAAACATTGCCTCAGGAATCATTAAACACTCCAAAATATAAAAATTGACTAAATGAAGAAATCCATAAATCTTTTACAATAAATTTGGTCATGCTCAGAGTATCAAGAGATGGTTGAAAAATTCTTTGAGCTTAAAGATTAACATATGCATATCAAAGACCTGCAAAGGAGACTTACCCTTCCTCTATATGGCTTAAATCCATACCATCGATAATCGCCATGATTTGTCTTTCACATGCATCACTGGTTTCTAGAAATTGCTTTTGATTTTCTGAAACAGCTGTAGTTTCTAACAGCTTGTGAACAAATCGAATACCATTTAAAGGATTTTTCACCTCCTGTTTTATATAAGCCAACTCCTTAAGTTTTGAAAAGATCTCTCTATTATCTTGCCTGTATACTTCTAAGGTCTGTTGCAGTTCAGGCACAACAATCTGCAAGAAGCAGAAGCAGCCAACTACTTTCCCATCCGAGTCAGTTCTCTTATTTGCAGTTAATAACACCTCCACAAAATTTTCCCCTCTATCAAAAAACCCGAAAGGGAACTTCTCAGTATCATGACCGCTAATTCCTTGATACAACAAAATCATGAATTTAGTGAGTGTATCTTGACCTTTCAGCCGACAGAAACCCCCAAAGATTTCCCTAGGAAGCATTTTACCCATTACCTCATGCCTCATCCAACCGGTCAGCTTTTCCATGGCTGCATTCCATTCAGAACAGCACGCGTTCTCATCAGATGCAAATATTGGTGGAATTAATGGATTAAGACTTTGTATGATAGCCTTGTAATCCCCTTGCAAGCGTACAAACTTATCCATCACAACTTTCTCAGGCGTGATGTCATGACCAACAAAGCACACTCCTTTGACATTGTTCATGTAGTCCCTACTTGTGCAGGCATTGACCACAATATATACAACTGAGCTTTCCCTTTGAAGCTCAAAATTTCTCAGTTTCAACTCAACATTTTTGTCTTCCTTACCTGGACAATAAAAAATCAACTGAATATTTGCAGACATAATAAAATTAGATACAAGTATATTTGCATGGGAAGGAAAAGTACAAACATCCTGGATTTGAAACATAGACCTTGATAGTTTAGACAATACTATGCTAGACTGATTTACCAGGAGAGCAAGAAGTATTTCAATGAACATTTATTTTAACAGGTTATGCTCTCCATAAAGATTAAGCATTTTGTTGCTTCCTAGTTCCTTTTCCCATTTGGTGTCCTTCAAAAGGAAACATACGAGGCATCTAAATTTACAACTCCTATTGGTTGTTGTGTCAATCTCCGATAAAACATCATAAAACTACTCTTTCAGAAAGCAAGTCTCAAGACCTGATAAGAGAACATGGTTGTCACAAGATGGATAGCAATAGTATGCTGTAATGAATAAGAGTTTGATAAAAAGAAAAAGAATTAGATGCCTGCATTTATAGGAAGATATAAGAGAGAAGATCAACTCAGAAGTCTCGGTTGGTTTAAGAACTACGAAGAGTCATTTTTCTACTTGACAGCCCCTAAAGACAAATGAAGGGCAGAAAGGCCATCAATTGGGGTTTTCAGAAAGTGATAGTCAATGGCCAATAATTCATCAAATGATATAACCCTGAACACAACCAATAGAGTAGTTGGTTCACTCAACCAACAGCAAATATTGGAATTAGACATTATTAAGTTAGAGTTCAACCTGTATTTGATAGCTTAGCAAATGATAAACACTAGTTGCAGATAAGAAAATTAGAAACAAGAAAACTTTCAGTAATTTGACGATTGCCACAGGGAACTCTTTTGTTTAAAATCCATAATCAACGCCCTTGATAAATTGTGAAGAAGAGAATTACCGAGCAAGGCTCTGCATATAAGATTTTCGAGAGCTCCACGTGAGTCCTGGTGAACAATTTCCTCAACCAGGGACTTCCCCATTGCTTCACTAGCTTGTAATCCTGTCAATTCGGCAACTTTCGCATTCCACCCATTGATGATACCGGATGAATCAACCCCAAAAATAGGGGCTGTTGCTGTCTCAATCAGCCTAACCATTTCACATGCCACTGAAGTGAGTTCATCCAACCCCTGCATCTCAATGTCATTCTGTTGAATATTAACCATTACCTTAGAGTTGTTTTCCTCCATTTGCTGGAATGAATCTCTCATTATAAGCTGTAAAGAGTGAATAGCATTAATTTCTGAAACTTCCCAAGGCGAACTCTTATTTTTCACCACTTCAAGGAAAGCTTTAAATGATGATCTTGGGTCCATTCTTCCACTATCATCCTTATGCTCTGGATGATGCATAGCTCCTGCCCATTTGACTTCCTTTGCAGTGTGAGACCTGAACCAGAATAAGAAACCCTTTGAATTGATTCTGGCAGTGGCCATACCACAGACTGCATCACCCAATAAAGCAGCACCAGGATAGCCAGCTTCTCCCAAACTATCAGTACTCAAACCTGTAGAATCCCCATGATTGTTGAGAAGCCACTCTACAATATCTTTTACCTGCATTTCAGTGGGAGTTACACCAAGCAACCAACATTTCCCCCCATAATATAATGCAGCGCCGTCACACTTCACCAGATCCATGATACTAGGTGATTTAGTCACAATACTGAATGGGGCATCCTGGAGGAGCATGTCACACAATAATATTTGTGTCCTGAGGATTTTCTTCTCTGCCAACTGCGACGCCAACTGAAGCTCCTTGTATAGCTGCAGCCCAAATGCCTGTATGAGAAATTCGCAAGCATAGCGTAGTGGGAAAGGGACATAGCGTGGAGATGTGTGATGGCACACCACCAATCCCCACAGCTTCATTGAATCATTACCATGGATGACAACTGCCATCACCAATGAGGCGATAGAACCCATATTAGCCATGTACTGAGTATGGCAGCTATGGGGTGACCGTAGGGTTGAATTGACCAAACAAAGAGGCTGCATTAATTCTTTACTCTGGATGACCCTAATAGGCTCAGCATGGCAATCACAAATCATCCTAATACGATTCTGCTTAAACAAGAAACGAGCGGCTTGAGGGATATCTGTTGCTGGATAATGTAACCCCAAATAGGGTTCCAAATCAGACCTCCTAATTTCAGACACAACTTCACCATGATCATCATCATGAAACTTATACACCATAACCCTATCATATCCAGTAAGCTTTTGTATATCCTCTACAACTGTATCACACAGTAGACCAATATCACCCCCAGGGAGTGACTGCAACCTAGAAATTGCCCTGACAGCAAGTTTCTGAGACTGCACAGCCCCAGCAAGTGACAATGCAGGATCACCTGACCGTGCAGGCTCTAAATCAATCACAATTCCCACATCAATTCTATGCAATATAGCATAAAATGGTTTCTGGGTACTCCTAGAACAAACCCAAATTGGATTTAACAGTGAAATCTCCTTAGCGGCAGCTGCTTTTGCCAAAGAAGCCCCAGAAGAAGGCGTAAAAAGGGCTCTTGCATCAACTCCAATCAAACCCTTTAACCCTTTTGACTCCAAAGTATCACTTTCTAAACTCAACCCCAGAAATTCAAAGCAATTTTCACTGTAACTAATGACTCTAAAAGTGGGTTCTTCAACAGCCAGCATACAACCAAAGGGCTGAATAAGACCACCCCTTTGTATTTTTGACAAATAAGCAGTTATTTCTTCATCAGGTACACTCTCTGGAGCATAAATAACTGATCTTGAATAGTTAAAAGACTTACCAGACACACTAGATTGCTCAAACTGAGCTAAAATACCAGCATCCGCATTATACTGATCAATGATTCTCTTTTCTTTGTTGATAGGTTTCATTTTAGCAGCTGAAGATGAAGAGGCAGTTGCGTTGTGATTTCGTGTTGTGTTTTCTGTTTCTCTATTGCTTCTAATTCGCATTTCTTAAGTGGCTTTCTCAGAAACTCAAGGGGGTATTCTTGTATTATTAGTACTAAAAGCTGGATCTTTATCATCATAATCATTGTACTCTCTTCTTCTGTTTGTGGATTCTCCTCGTTACAGGTTCCACATGTCTCTTTCATTTGCATGTGGGGTTTATCTTCTCTTCTTAAAATGTTTACTTCTTGTTTCTGTCTAATCCATCATAATTATGCAGTATTAATAAGACGATTGCTTATGGTAAACCAGCATTAACACTCTTGATAGTTAAAAAATTTAATCTGTAAAAAAATCAAAGAATCTGAGACAAAACACATGTGAATTTGCTTTATATGGACGTATTTCAACCACTGATTTTGTGGAGGATATGAGTCAGTCGTTGGTTGCTCATGTTGTTATCATATGAGTGCGGCTTTTCATGGGAAATTTGAAAAAGATACTTTTATGTTGCATAGCAAGTTGACCCTTTATTGAGAAGAAAAAAAGATACTCATAGTTATGTGTTATTTTGATCATCGTTTTCACATAACCTTCATGGGAATGTCAAAAGGGAGAAAAGGGAATTTAGTTGCCATCTCCTCCGTGTGCGTCCTGTAAACCTGAACTAGATTCAATTCTTTATAAGGAAAAATATATTATGACGTAAATATACCTCCTATGAGTACACATTCAAAGTCTCTTTGAACTCTATTTAGGATTGACAGCCTTATGTCATTTACCAGAGACACTTGACATAAATTAAGAGTAAATTCGCGTAGTCACTGGAGGTTTATTTGGTCGTTAACTTTAGAATTCTGAAGACCAGTTGAGGTGCGCACAAACTGGCTTGGACACCCTGAATACCAAAAAAAAAAAAAAAAATTAAGAGTAAATTATATGCAGAATGTCACTATTAATTAGTATCATATGGCAGATTTATTAATAACCAAAAAAACATGAAGAAAAACCCAAAAATATCGTTTATTCATGGCATAAGAAATTTTATCTCAAATTAACTAAAAAAAAAAAATAGAGTTAAATACATATGTGTTGACTTGAGTGCTTGCTTAATTCTTCAATGCGTTTCCATTTTGGAAATTAAAACACTGAGGGAAGAGAAGCTGTGAGTGAGTGGTTTTAATGCTTCTGGTATGGACCTGAACTTGCCCATACTGAGACTGGTTTAATATATGCCTTGTTTGCGTTTAAATGCCATAGTTTTGCAGAGTTATTATACTATTTTGATCTTCATGGGAATTAGAGTCCACGGTGGCCGTGTCGTGTTATGCCTAAAAATTTAAGGCTCGTTTTGTTGTGGGCTGTGTCGTGTTCAGGCTCGCAGAAATTCATGCCTTGTGATGCTGTGTTGGCCCGCCAAATCTAAAAGCCCACGGCACGACGTATAGCGTGTCGTGGGCTAACACATGGGCTAGCCTACAATTTTTGTTTAATATTTAATATTTATAAATTATGGTAATTTTGATTTATTATTAATAATTATTATAAAAATATTTTATATTTAGTGACATTTTGTATATGTATTAATTAAAAAAAAATAATCGCTATGAAATATAATAAAATAATGAGACATTGAAATATTAATTGAATTTCAACACTTTTTATTACTTATAAGTTATAATTATAAATTATATATATAAACTTAGAAATTAAGATTAAGAATTAACATTAACAATTATATCTTCATTAGAAATACAAGTCTACAAATACAATATAACTATCTCAATTTTGATTCTAGTTTACAAATATTTAAAGTATAATCAATTTCTTTGAATACGTCTTCATTTTCATTAATTTCTTTGAACCATCATTGGTTTTGGAACTGCCGATCGGACAAGAACCCCAGTGACCATCCCTATTAATGTCTGGAGGACTTAAACTCAAGAGCTTATGAAACATTCTTTTGCTCTTTACCATTAAGTCACACAATAATAGATAAATTACATTAATTTAGTCAACCTTAAATTTGGTGAGAAGTAAATAAATTACCCTTGAATTCAAAACAAATTACAGCCTACCCAAGCCACCACCCCTAGCCACCTACTGCGGGTAACCATTGTTGTGGCCAGCTGCTGCCAGAACGGCGCACAGAAGGCCCAAAATAGCCTCCGTGCGTCAATATGGCCATTTCTGGCCAGATCCGTCATCGATCTGGCTGTTTGTGGCCGTTAATGGCCATCGATCTAACCGTCGATGGCTAGATCTCTGGCCGAAAATGGCCATACGGTACATGAAAGCCATTTCCTGCCTTTCGTGCACCGTTAGGTTGCCGGCTGTCAGCGGCCTACGGTGGTTGTCGACGGCCGACAGTGGCCGGGTTGGTGAGGGTGCTTTGTTGATTTTCCAAACTTTTATTACTGGGTTGTTTTTGCTAAGTTTTTAAATGCAGGGGGTTATAATAATCCAAATAATAATCAATATTAAAAAATAATATAATAATAATATTTAATTAGAGGACAATTCAATAATTTAAATAACATACTCACCAATTTATTCCTCCCAACCAAACATATTAATATAACAAACCCACCAATTAATCAAACACATTTTTCTAAATATTTTTAATAATCTTTAAAGTAATCTAACTTTTCAATAATCCAATATTTTCAGTAATCTAATATTCCTTAAACCAAATGCCTCCTTATGGCAATATCAAAAGGGAGAAAAGGGGTTAACCTAATTTGATTATATATATTGCGTGATCAAGGTTATCTTAATTAATTTATATATAATTCAACTAATTTTTAGACTTTAAAATTAATAATTAGATAAATATTAAAAAATGACGACCCTTATTAATAAGTCATATTATTCGAAGTAAAAAGGTCTTAAATAATATATGGAAGACTTTGAGTTGAATAGTCATTTTTTATGCGTATTGTTTAATTATGCTAAGATGATTCATATAAAATATATTTTTTTTTTATTTGAAAAAAAATCAATCACATCAAGAAAAGGAGGAAGCTTTACTCCTTTGTTCGACGAAGGAGCACGTGTCAACGCGTAGGACTGAGCTGGTTCCAAAATCCACGTGGCAAATTCCTACCGGGTTAACGTCCTTCCCCAAAAGATTCAATCTCAGCCGTCCGTACGATCCAACGACAGCGGACAGCACCACCCTGTCTTGACCGCTCGTGGAAGTAAAAGAGAGAGAAACTGAAACACAACACAACAAAACAAAAGTCCTATAGTTTTAGTCTTAGTTTTAATTTTAGAAGCCAAAGACAAGAGTTTTTGCTTCTTTCTAAGCAACAGGTGTGTGTCTTCTCTTCCTGTTTCTGTAATCAAATTTCACCATTTTTGTGTAATTTTGAAGCTCTGTTTTTCTACTCAATTTGATCCATTTTCATTTTTTTTTTTTATTAACGGTATGGTTGGTTGATAGTTGAACTGTATAACTGTCATTTGAGCTGGCTGGTTCTAGGGTTTCATTTAATTATGAAAGCTTTTATGAACAGTTTTCAAGCTTTGTTTTTGTGAGTTCGTCTGGTTTTGTAGTGTAATTGAGGTATGATGTTGAATTTTACACAACTTTTGTGATTCGCTCCTTGGTTGACTTTTACTTTTGAAGTTTTTAACTTTACATATTTTTTGTGGAATGTGGTGTGCGTTTTTAGTTTAAGTGCTTTTTTATTTGAGCTTAATTATGATTTATCTTCAAAATTGATGATAGAAGTTAAATCTATAAGTTGCTAATTATGAACATTTTTAGTATAATTTCTTTGTTCCTGTAATTATCTTAATTTTTTAAGTGTTACCTTATTAAGCTATGGTTTTGACTCACCCAACCGGTTGTTTGACTTGGTTTTTATCTGTTCATCTTCGAATTATTGAGCTTGTGCTTTGTCGTTTGGTTGATTTTGAAGACTTTTTTGATAATTCTATGTACTTTATTTTGTTATCTAGAGGGTTAAACTTATGCAGGTTATTGATCTGTAAGTTTCATGCTATATTTGGATGACTGTGGTTGTTTTAGAATAAGGTTGTACATTGATAGCACTTTCAGTTATGCTAGCTTTATTGGTACAGGCATCTACTGATAAAATGTTATTTTTTTCGTGACTCTTTTCTACTTTCTATGAGTTATACTGCTTAAATACTTCTTCCTTTTTTATGTAGAAGTCGAAAAAATTTTACTAGCTAAACCATATCTCTTTCTGTTTTGATATCCTTGCTTCTTATTTTGACTATGTTTGTTATCTGTGACACAGCCTCTGTTGCTGCTTTTTATTTTTGGAGGGTGTTATTTTCCCACTGATGTTCAGGGATCAAGATTGTGGTAAATATCACCAACTTGGATCAAATGCCATCTTTAAAAATGAAGACCAAATCCAGTACAAGCTCTGTAAAAGAAAAATATGGTCTTCGTGTGTGTCTGAAGTCTTGTGTAATTTGCAAACATTCATGCTCCCATGTAAAGATTGCCCAACAAACAGCTGAATTTAATGCATGCATGGAAAACTGTCATGATGGTAAGTGGCTACATCTACACTTAAAACTGGTTGATGTGATGTCTCTCGGATGATTTTAGAGATACAGTGCTGTGTTCTGTATAAAAGTTTTCAAAATGTGTCTCATGTTGCATATTCACATCTTTACATTCATAATCCATGTAGATTTATCTTATTATCTTGTTGAAGTATGGGCATACATCCTTTTGATTTGCCTAAGTACTGGCAAAATGCAAAATCATGACCAGATGAGATGGATTTGCGGTTTTATTGTTGGTGATAGTGTTGTCTGTTAATTATATTAGTACAACGTATTTACATATTGCATCTCATGGTACTTCTGTTGTGATTGTGGATAAAAATTATTTGAAGTTCAATTCCAAATCATAGTTCCTCAATTTTATACCAGATTTTCTGGAGGAGAAAGAACATGAATTACCATTTTATAATGTGAAAAGAAATTGATTTGGTTTAAATTAATCCAGAAGAGCAATGTGAATGAACACTATTTTAATGATATATCAGCTGGGTTTCTAGTTTCCTGTTTAATGCTGAAATCATTCTTGTACGTGATAAGTGTATATTTTTTAATGCACTTGCTAATTATTCTTGTTAGTTTCTTCAAGCATGGAAGCGTCCAGTTTGTGCTTTGATTGTGATGTAGCCATTGAGCAGCAAGAATTGCTGGATGAAGAAAATTCTCAGTTTGAGATGCAGCCATCAATTTCTGTTGACTCTGAAACTATTGGGAGAACGGTAAACATTTTTAGACATGAATATTGTGTATGATTTTTCTCAATATTTTAAATTTCTTCTTTTTGATTTTGGATTACCTTGATCTGATAACTGTTTAAGCTTGATATGCTTTCATTTTGCTGCCCCTGTATGTTTGACTGATTTTTTCCATATTAATTTACCCCATACAAACTTTGGTTAATACTTTTTTGCTTGCTGACAAAGTGACTCAGTAACAAATGAACAATATATATATATATATATATATACCCCCTTTGATTAATTTGGTTGTGATGTGTGAATAACTCTCATGAATTATAGGAATCTACCCACGCCTGTTCATCAAACTTAGAGACAATTTTTTCTCCTGTCCTGGAGCCATTTGAAGTCTTCGGTGAACCAAATATCAACTATGATACAGGTAATTCCCATATCTGTTTGGTTAATACTTAATATTTTATTTTATTTTATTTGGGTGTAAAGGTCTGGCACTCCTGCAATGGACACCTGGTTCACCATTGTAGACTCTAATTCTCATTTCAATATACTACTTGTCTGCTATAAAAAAGAGAAAAAAAGGATAGACATGATTTTGAGCACTGCTGTTGAAAATATCCACTAGAATAAAGTGACAATTAACTGTACTATTCACGAAGTTCCTTTTCATTGCAGAAAAAGGAAAGTATATAAATCTAACAAAATTTAGTTTCCACCACTTTCATTTTTCTGTTTGTAGTTCACATATTTTCTTCCCACCAGAATGAAGGTTCAAGTCCTGGTAAGAAAACATATTTTTTGGGGAATATCAACCTTAGGGCTGCAAATTAGTAAAGCCAGGCTTAGCAATGCCTGAGCTTGGAAATGCTTGATATAATTGTCCCATGGTGACCAAAATTTTTTTGAGACAAAATGGAATAATTAAACACAAGAGTTTAAGTATAGTTCATATTGTTTCTTGTTTTTGCTAGGTAACTGTATATATTATCGCTAACTTTCTTTTAAATATTCCAGGGAACGGCAAGGAACCTGATGCATCAGGGATGAGAGCTGATGACAGCTGTGACAATGGAGGTTCAAGTGACTATCAAAGTTGTAATGTATCAGATTTCTTTATTTCTGACATGATTATTGCTGGAGTACCTTTGGATGGGAATTCTGTTGATGGTGCTACCACCGAGTCCAAGCCTTTTCCTGATTACAAGTGTCCGGAGCCAAGTATGTTATTCGATGTGGCTGACCAATATATGATTCTGCCTTTTCTTGAGGATACTGCCACAATCAGCTATACCAATGATGTCAATTTAGGCGAAGAAGCCACAACTGATCCTGATAAAGCTAGCTTGTATCTAGCAATTGGTCAGATGAAATCCTTCAACCAGGAAGTTGATATTAATTCTGACTCAGATCAGGCAGAGCACTTTGATCCTCAGTTGTTTATCAAAAATTTACCTGAGCTATCTGATGTGTCAAATTTTCGGCCAACTATATTGCCAAAGGATAGTCGGAGAAGGAAGCCTGTAACCCTAGTACTTGATTTGGATGGTAAGATAATGTATTAATTCAATTTCTTTTGATGTGATCTTTCCCATATTCCAGTGCATGCAAAATGATTTCTTGTAAATACTAGTCTAGATGATCAAATGGTTCTTATGTACTTTTGGAATAAGTGAATAACTTATGACTATTGTCCAGTGAATCCTGGGGTTGGTTTGACCTGAGAACTGTTTGTAGATCTCCGGTTGAGAATTTTATGTAGCATAATTGTTCTCTTTTTAAATTTTCTTTGGAGATGTGTGTGGAAATGCTAAAAGGTTCCACTACTGTGGCTTTTGTTTGTGCAGAAACACTTGTTCACTCTACACTTGATCATTGCAATGATGCAGATTTTACCTTTACTGTTTTCTTCAACATGAAAGAGCACACTGTTTACGTAAAAGAGAGACCTTATCTCCATACATTCTTGGAGAGGGTTGCGGAAATGTTTGAAGTTGTTATCTTTACAGCCAGCCAAAGCATCTACGCAGCACAACTTCTGGATATACTGGATCCAGATGGAAAGCTTATATCTCGACGTGTTTATCGTGAATCATGCATTTTTTCAGATGGAACTTATACTAAAGATTTAACAGTTTTAGGTGTTGATCTTGCAAAAGTTGCTATAATTGACAATTCTCCTCAGGTATGTTAAAATTTTTATGTTGGCCTCATGCTTTTGCCCCATTTCTTCTTGTTTTCAGTTAAAAATCATGCACATGCACATGCAAATCCATTCAGAGTACTCTATATTGTATCTTTGTCTTTTAAACTAAGTTGTTGGGATCTTGCTTTTCATTGTAAATAGACCTTAATTTGTCCTGTGAATGTGACTATGTAAACTGGTAATTGTGCAAAAATCCATAGGTTCTATGTTCAGAAGCAATTAGTTTCCAGTTGGCCATTACATATCATTAACCTTTAGCAGAAAAGAGACTGAGGTCTGTTGCATTTGCTTGATGGTAAGATAACAATAATTGTATTACCTAAGTAAAGTGGTAAAGAAAGACTTAAACAACAGAAGTTAAGCAACTTCTGTATTAGATACTTTCCTGAGTTTTAAGCCTTGTACTTATTCATCATTTCAGGTCTTCAGGCTACAAGTGAATAATGGGATTCCTATTAAGAGTTGGTTTGATGATCCATCTGATTGTTCACTAATTTCATTACTCCCCTTCTTAGAGACCCTGGCTGATGCTGAAGATGTACGTCCTATCATAGCCAAGACATTCGGTAACAAGGAATAATAGTACCTTGTTTCTCTTCACTAGCTTGAATATAGCTCTTTGTCCCTCTCGTTCACTTTTGAGCGAAAATTGGTCTCTGATTTTATTGCTCACTTCTCTTTTCTTTCTAGCTTTGAGATGATTAACTATCGAATAAACTATTGATTGTCTTATTGGTAAGTCAGCTTGTTCCATCTCTTTCTCCTCCCTGCTGGCAACCCTGTGCAGTGCTCTGTCTAATTTTTTGGAAGGTAGTTCTAGAGATGTTTCTTTTTATTGTACAGTTAAAAGCTTGCTGGCATATAAGGGGACATATATGAATTATTATCTTGTAAAGTATAATTTTGCAGACTCTTGTTTTCTTTCTTATCTGTTGCCTAATCTGAATTACTGTTGTCAATGCTGTTCTACATTCTTTTTCCGCAAAAGGTATTCAGATTCCTTGTATGCTTATACTATGAAAGTAACTTCGAATTGAACACTTATAACATCATTTAAGGCTTTCATCACTAAATCATTGTTTATATAAATAATCAGAATAGAGAAGCAAACACTGTAAGATACAAGTATGGACTTAGACAATTGTTTCTCTGAGTGCTATATATTTGGCATGTGGTAGAAGGGTGCTTTACTGTTGATGCAGAAAAGAAAGCCTTAAACTTTTTTAAGAAGTCAGTGAATGTACAGTCTTTTAGGAAATAATGACTTAAAAAATGCTAAAATAATTTAAAAGTACAATAGACAAAGACATGAACATCAAGTGTAATGCAAATGTTGTAGGAAGCTAAACTTCATATTGATTACAGTATTTTATTTTGAGTTTTTACTTGAATATTTGTTGTTCCATCAACAATTCTGTACAGATTCAATAAATAAATGATAGCAGTTAGTTTCGAAGCTGACATGTTGATGGTAGCAAATATCATATTATTTCATCTGATTAATTTTGTCTTCGTTGATTTTTTTGATAAGGATCTTTATGCATAATAGTTTACTTAAATATTGTTGATATACAATTGAACCTCTTAATTTTCTTATTAGGAAAACTGACAACACTTCATGCGTACTATCATGTCATTTCTGTTATCGATTTATTTGATATTATGAAAAATTGAAGAAGCCTGACTCTTAGCTAGTGCTCAAGGAAAACCCAAAAAAAAATTGAGAAACTTGTTATAGTGGCCCATAGTTGATGCTTGGGAAAAAGCATATTAATAGGTTTTGGACATTGCCACATTGGTGAACTTAAGTGGAAAGAATTTCTTTTACTTAAGTGAGAAATGAAGAAGAGATGGAAAAGAAAGCTATTTTTTATTGGAAAAGATTAACTTTTTTATAGATTGCTCGTTCAGTGGTTATAATTGTCTTGCAAATAGAGGTTATGCAGGATGGAGTGAAATGAAGCTTCTATTCTCTATTCAGTGACTAGAATTGTGAATAATACCATAAACTGCTGCTTATTTTAAACCTTGTCTTTCTGTTTTGATTCTGAATGCTGACATCTATTATTTATTTGCTTTTCGTCTATACTTAAACTGTTATCTTTGAACTTTTATTTGTTTTCAATATACAGTAGCGTTCCTTGTTTCTATTGCTATTAGCCTCTCAAGTAGACATTTAAGTCTCTATTATTGGACATCCTTCATCTTTTTTATTATTCTTTTTGTGCATTGGGTTTTCTCATGTGGTATTATCAGTTTAATATCAGAGAAGAAGGTAATTTGTTACGAGAGAGGTGAGGACGAGTCAAAGCCGTTTGTAAGTCCTAACATGTTTTATTGATCTATATCTACATTATGATGTTTTAGATCACTATTTCAAGTGAGTAATTGATGCCATAGATTTGAGAAGTGTATGAGTCAAGTGGGAATTGAAGTCTGAGAGAAAAATAAATTCTTGGATAGAGGGTATAAGTCTGTGGTGGATTGGTGATTAAGAGATTAAGGCCATATCCTCTAAGTTAGTGCTTAATTGATTTAACCAGTATTTGGATGCCACCTGCACCTTACTGGTGAAATTTCCAGGAGGATTCCAGTCCAAGCCATAACTCCTCCCTTAATTATGTGTGAATCACCATGAATTTAGGTTTTGAATTCCCTAAACTATAACTGGCGATGGATGAGGTGTTAGTGCTATGCATTAAGGTTCGGATGCTAGACTCTATGATTTGATGGATCAAAAACTACCTGAATGGCGGAAGTTTCGTTTCTTAATTCTTTTCTACTCTATGTCCTGTTTCAGAGTAGTTTATTGAGCAGATTGTGGGAAGGACTTGAATTTTTGATCATCTACATTGCAGAATTAAAAGAAAATGGTGATTTGTAGGTTCTAAAAGTTTAAGTTATAACCTCCTGTCGGCACGTCTTTGTGTTTTTTTAACCAAGAAGGGTGACAGTACTTAAACTTTCTGGAGGGGGATCATTGCATGTGTTAAATATTATGTTTCTTAGTGCAATTTCACAATTTTGCATGCCTTATCTGCAGGTCATGTAGATTCTGCCAGTGGCAAAATAATAGGTACGTAGAATTTTATTGGTGCTTCCGTTATCTTTTTCTGTGAACGTTGTTGATATAGTTATTTCTCATGACATTGATCAACCCTGACAATTTTAATATGTTGTGTCTTCGGATTTCTGAAATTGATGTTGGAAACAGATTGCAATTGCATGATGTAATATCATTTTGAAATAATAAGATATATGTGTATCATCATATATTTTATTCTACAGCTGCTCTGTTGTCTTGACCAGTGGCTGGTAATGTAAAGTAGCAGCACTTACTAGTGTAATACAGCTACAGTTATTGTTGCTTCAGAAATTTGGAGAGATTAATACATTTTTTGGAACATTTTGGGTACATGTAAATTTTAAATCATAGCCACCATTGTTTTACTGTATTAAATGTTTGCTTCTCTTCCTGAAAACTGTAAATTTCGTATCCCATTAGACTAAATTTCACAACCTTTTTTAGTTCAGTTTGTCTTCAGTTGCTGGATCTTGTACTTGCATTGATAAAAAAAAATGCAGGAACACTGTTAATTCCTCTAAAAAGTGCAGGGACTTTGTAAATGATGGTTGATCTGATTGCATTAGAGTCAATTTGACACATGCTGGAAACTTTTTCTGTCTCTCTCTCTCTTTCATTTTTTTTATTTTTGGTATCTGGAAGTGTTTAGGGTCAACTTGTGTACATCTCAACTAATCTTCCAGGGTCCTGAGTTGATAACGGGGTAAGTCTCTCAGTGGCCACCTCTATTAGAGCATGTGAAGACTCAAACTCATGAGTTCATGAAACCTTTTTTTACTCTTTTACTATCAAGTCATTCAATGGTGGTCAACTGTTTCTGTCATTTTGCAATTTAGTCATATCTCCAGGTGCACTGGCCCATATTTAATATCACTGGCATTTGGAAAAGTGCAGGACACTGGAATTCTGAAGTCCGAACATCAACATTCCCAGTAATAAGAAACCACCTTTCTTATGTACATTTCCAGGATAGAGAATCAAGCTTTCATCTTAAAACAATTATATGCCCTTCCAAAATTTGGTTGAAAAAGGTCGCTACTCTACTATTTCAAATGGCTTTTTAAACATCCCAAATGCATGATATCTGAACATTGTATTGATCTTCTGGGAGTAGATGTTGTTTTGCAGAGAGGCTTAAAGGGTAAACATTTAAAGGACCATCAAAATTGATATATAAAACATGCCACTTCTGCGCAGAATTACCATATACTATTTTTACATCAATTTTCTCAAACAATCAATTGATGGAGCAAATCAATATTTGGGAGTACATCAGACCTCTTGTAATTTGGGAAGAAGCAAAAGGGGATGAAATAAAAAAGAAATAGAGATTTAAAAATGACAACAGAAAATTCAGTCNTGCAATTTAGTCATATCTCCAGGTGCACTGGCCCATATTTAATATCACTGGCATTTGGAAAAGTGCAGGAGACTGGAATTCTGAAGTCCGAACATCAACATTCCCAGTAATAAGAAACCACCTTTCTTATGTACATTTTCAGGATAGAGAATCAAGCTTTCATCTTAAAACAATTATATGCCCTTCCAAACTTTGGTTGAAAAAGGTCGCTACTCTACTATTTCTAATGGCTTTTTAAACATCCCAAATGCATGATATCTGAACATTGTATTGATCTTCTGGGAGTAGATGTTGTTTTGCAGAGAGGCTTAAAGGGTAAACATTTAAAGGACCATGAAAATTGATATATAAAACATGCCACTTCTGCGTACAATTACCATATACTATTTTTATATCAGTTTTCTCAAACAATCAATCGATGGAGCAAATCAATATTTGGGAGTACATCAGACCTCTTGTAATTTGTGAAGAAGCAAAAGGGGATGAAATAAAAAAGAAATAGAGATTTAAAAATGACAACAGAAAATTCAGTCTCGTGATATTTCAAGTTTTTAACAACATTTAGCTCTCAATTCCCCATCTAGACACTATTATATATTCAATTCAAAAGAATCAAAAAAATCATAACTGGTAAATTTTACAAGGGTGGTCTTTTGTGCGTTGAGACAATAAAAATTCGAAACTTCGATGGTATTGTATAAGTATGAATACATTCCATGTCTCAAGAATAAAGTAAATTTGAGAGCAATTCTTTTTTAGCAAAAATTCTATACTCAATTTCTCATGGATAGTTGGATACAAGACTTCATATGCAAAATGATATTGCCTGACCTTTATACTATAAATATCCTAAAATAGTGAACCGTTTTAAGATCCAAACCGGTCAGCCCGACAGTTTTGTACTGTTCCACCGGTCTATTACCGGTCTAAAATGGGTTTTATGTCTCTTTCGGTTTTCATGTTAACTCGGACCGGAGTTAAGGCTGGGTCCCAGTCGGACCGGCCGGTCCAGTCCGAGTTTTAAAACAGAGATGGAGACAAGACTTTAGCCAAGGAGATATGCAAAATGATATTGCCTGACCTTTATACTATACATATCCACAAAATGGAAGTCCATTACATTTGACATTGGTGCCTCTTTGTCAGCTCTCAGAGTCAACAAAGTTGTGATTTGAGATGAAGATTTCAATCTCAAGATCTTTTTAACTACATTCTCGGTAGGACATTACCTTAAGTTTTGAAGTGCATTTCTCTTTGTCAGCAGAAAGGGTAAGCACCTTAAAGACTTTGGGGAGATTGATGCTGAGGATTTGGAGATGCAGCAGATGTGACAGTCCCAGACACACCTGTACTATACGGTGGTGCAACTCCTATGCCCTGCATGATTTTGAAAAAAGAAAATAATGAGGATATCAAATCATTGAAAAACAGAGACATATGTCAACATGAATTTGATCAAGGGTCTCATAGAATTTGGTCAAAGATAACTGGAAAAAGAAACAAACAGACGCAAACCATAAAACTGTATGAACTCTTAGATATTTAAGCGGTCAGGAGTAATTATCAGTTTACCAAACTTGAGAAATATGGCCAAGCTACTAAGGTCTTAGTGTACTCCATATAAGCAACATATTTTATCAGAATAAATCGCCTGCAGTAAAACTCACATGCTTGCTTAACTAACTGAGATGTCACAATTTATTGGCTTGAATCCACAAATTGCTCTGGCTTTCAGAAGAATTGCGCCAAGACTTAAACTCAAAAAGATGACAACCAAAGACCCCAGTAAACTGGTGATATGTAAATCAGATTGAATTCTTTCTTCGAAGACATTACTTTTCTCATATTTCGCAACTTGTAAAAGAGAATCAAAGCAAGCTGATACCTAAAAATCACCATCTCATCATGTGGTATCACGTATCCTTCTAAGCTAAATAATGGAACTCTAGGGTTGCGTATAATATCTGAAAAATTTCTTCAGACAAAATTATTAAAGAAACAGTTTAGGTCCCATAAATGCTAGTATGAAATGTGGCAAACTTTTAAGCTATCTGATATATTTAGTATGGAATTTGGCTCCTTATACTAATTTTTCCTGGTCAATTTCAGAACTCCTCTTTTGCACCTACATACAATAATAACAATAATTAACCATATGATTAAATTTAGCTGAAGACCTGTTCAGAGCTGTTCTGACTCCTAGTGTTGATTTGCAACACAGTGTTTTGATGCTCAGGTTGTCTTTGTTCTTGTTGTTGTTGTTGCTGCTGATGTGGTTGTGGTTGTGGTTGTGGTTGTTGTTGTTGCTGTTGCTGCACCTGCTGATACTGCATTTGCTGTTGCGGTTGCAGGTATGGTAGATGCTGCTGCTGATAGGGCTGCTGTTGTAGAAAATGTGGTTGCTGAATCTGTAGCTGCTGTTGTACATGGGGTAGCTGCTGTTGTTGCTGAAAATATTGCTGTGCCTGATACTGTTGCTGCTGATGGGGCTGTTGTTGGTGCAGTTGTTGCAAATGTTGCTGTTGCAGAAGAAACTGCTGCTGCTGTTGCTGTTGATAATAATAATATTGCCACATTTGATTATACCCTTGGTTACCCTGCAGATGCCCTTGCTGCTCATGACTTTGCGTAGGAAACTGAGACATTTGTGCTTCAGCATAAGCAACAGGTTGTGCAGGTACTTGAGATGCAGAAGCAAAATTCTGCTGCTGCATGTTTTGTATTGGCCAGGCTTGAGGTGCTGTAAGATTAGCAGATGCTGGGTAGTCACTTTGTGCTTGGCTCCCTTGCTCAAATTGTGGGTTCTGTGAAGGCAAAGGTTGAGAGGGATAACCTCGATTCATAGGCATTTGAGCATGAGGTTCAACACGTGGGTACCGTTGTGGAGAAACTCGTCGCTGTTGATGCTGCTTTTTATGTGAATGTCCTCGAAACCCAAATCTGGAATCTCTGTGAATTCTGTCATTATTATGCTTCTGACGCCAGTTTCGCTCACTATTCATAGGTTTTTGTGGCTGTAAATGTTCCTCTTTTACAAAATTTTGATGGCATGCCACAGAAGATGGACTAAAGGTTTCAGTTTGAATTTGGGAAGAATCAGACACTTGTGTGCTCATTGAGCTGGATAGAAGTTGACTACCATTATTATTCTGATCACCCAGCAGCATATCTCCATTTGACATACTGTTTTCTTGTAGAGCTTCACTCTTCAAATTGCTTTCGTGAGACAAACTGGTCTCTTGAGGAGCTTCACGCTCATGAGATGTGGCACACACTGAGCTTGGAGATTGATTTTCTTGGTTATATAAGGAAAGTCTCTCCACTGAAAGTGGCTTCATATCCTCTTTGGATTCATGGTCAGATGCATCTTTAGAGAATTCTAGAGAAGCTTTAGTTTCAGTTTCAGCAGCAACTTCATGTACTAAATCAAGAGATGCCACAATTGGTTCACAAATATCTTCTCTGTGCTGCTCTCTAACTTCAGGAGATAACTGCTGCATTTTCTCCTGTACGCTGTTTTCAGCTTCTCCTGAATGAAGATGGTCAATTCTAGCACCAGCATCAGATTGAATATCATGATTTTCCAGCAATGGTGATTTCTGTTCTGATAACGGTGCAGTTGCATCATGGTCAGACTGGCTATCATAGTTTTCTGAAGGAGAAAGTTTCTTGTCTTGAGAAGGTGACTGGAGTGAGTGGTCAGATCCAGATGGCCTTGGAGTCAAAGCAACAATACTTTTTAGCCTTCTTTCCATGAATGATTTCAATGGTTTTGTACCTGCAGCAGGATGCTCATATGCAGTCCTCACAGAGTGTGGAAACAATTTGATGTGCCGATTCCATGCCTTCCTTACATCATGGATGGTACCACACAGGTCGACGAACTGCTACCACTATAGATCATTAGTACTGAATGTATTAAAGAGAATATACATATATATATGCAAGAAATACAATAAATTTGAAGTTGGGGACATGATCATGTAACTGATGTCCTTTTAAATTAACTATCAACTCATGAGAATTAAAATGTTGGAATCTTTCAGCAAAGAAAACAATTGTTGAAATTAGCAAAAGGATTCAAATCCAGATAAAGATGTGAAATAATACCAATGATTGCACTTCTTTTTCCTCCTTCTGAGCTCAGCACAACAATAAAACCATGCACCATGTAGGTGAAAGTTGGAAACAATAATAATTTGGAATACATATGGTAAAAGGGTGTTTGTGCAATAGACAATTGACTGAAACATGCAGGATAAAAAGATGAGAGCTCAAACATGAACAGGTGGCACAATCACAAAGATAAAATAAGATTTCAGATGGCTTTGCTCCACAATGCTACAAGAGAAACCTAAAATTTCAAACAGATATATTGAACTAAGCTATGCGACCCAAAAAATGAAATATGATCTATTTTATGCTAGCTTGTAATTGACCTTTAAGATGGGAACTGATTATAAAATATAGAAGATATAAGAATTAAAATAAAAACTGGAATTGTAACCTGTAAATATAAGCTTGATACATCCTCCACATCCTTCTGACTAAAAGCATCAAGTACATCTGGACCTGAATATACTGCATTAGCTATAACAGAGTCTACAACATTCAGGTGTCTTGACCCTCCATGCATCATTACAAATTTTATCAGCTCCTGCATAAGTTAACAATAAATAATTCTTGACAGCTCTAACAAATAGATTTATGACATTAGAATTATAATAAAAATTCATCATACAACATTTTTTAATCTAGAAAGCCTTGAATGCCAAACTAACTTTGGCTCTATGTCTAGTTGTCACCACAAGCCTACACATGGTATAAAAACCGAATAATTGTTTTTCAACTACATAAATTTAAATCACAATTTCGCAGATAATCAGTTAGTAAGTTATATGACAGAATACCTCCAGAAGTAATTTGCAGTGAGGCACATGCTTGACACCATCTATTAAAATGTCTCTCGCTGCATCTGCACTATCAGTAGTCTGTAAACAGAAAGTGCTATTAGTATAAAAATTAATAACTTGTAAGTCCAACAGGTAAAAACTACAAACATAGCTTAAATTCCTACCATGTATTGAAGTCGTGAAAAACGAACATACAGTATAGGAAGAATATGCAACTTTTTCTTCTCAGCAGCAGTTTCTAATGCTTCTTTGAATACATTGCAAGCTGCCAAAAAATTTCCCTAACATTAGGAAAGAGTTGGCATATATCAGTACTAATTCCAAATCCCAGCAATAAATTATGCTCTTCTCAGTGATTAAATAGTAGATTACACACCAGACGCTTTTCCATGTTAGCTTTAATTGTGACATTTTCAACAAAAGTTGAATCTGCTTCAGTATCACATCCAAGAAAGGCAGCACGGGCAGCATATACATCTCCTATTTGCTCCTTATACTGGGCACTGAAAAGATGGACCATTGGCATTCTCTGCAAATAATACATGAGGATGGCCATAAACATCTTGATCGTGCATAAAGTAATCAATTCAAACTATCCTATAAAATCAGTAATCAACCACATTTCACATAGCACAGATTTATGGTAAAATTACCAGGAGTAATGTAAAAGACAAGAAAAAAAAAAAAAATATAGGACCACCTGCATAATTCCACTCAAGTTATTCTAAGCAAGTGAAAGCAAGAGACGTCTAGATTATATATTCTTAAAATTTCCACAAACAGGATTAAAAATCCAGCAAGTCCTTGAAATCACAGGACCATAGTTATAAAGCCAAAGTATATTTTTGCTAATATTATCAGATTGACATGAGGCATAATCCTCCTCCAGATGAATTGAAGAAATTCAGTCAATTTTTAACCAAAAACACAAGGTTCTTACAAACCAAGAACGTCATGTAATAATTATCAACCTTTAATTGATGTCATGAAATTACTTTTTGCATTGCAAAATGCACATTTCAGCAGATTAAATTCCATAAAAAGGAACAAATAGTGATTTATTTCTTTTGCTTTATCATATTTAGACTCACATATAGTAATTTAAACAATGGAAAAATGAATAAATAAATCATGTTTAGTGATCGAGAAATCAGCTGGAAAAATATTTGCTATCATAATGAGAACGTGTGGAAAGAACAAGCTACTCATTTCAAATAAAAAGCAATCAATCACTTTATCTCAAACCGGTAAGATAAGTTCCTTCACAATGATGAAAGAATTAAGTGGTTTCTAAAAGTTATACCTTCAGAAAAATTTGCGTTGCTCGTGCCAATGCTAAGTTTGCTATCTCTCTTCCCCCTTTGCTTTCCATGAAATCCACATAACGCATCCAGAACTCAGCATAATTGGCACAAGGAATTAAGCACCTCTCATAGAGTTTAACCACCTATAGTTAACATAAAAAATAGAAAAAAGGTTACAGATGTTAAACACATAAAAGGGGGAGAAAAAGGCAACTGCCAAGTCCATAAAAGAACCACAAGATATAAGGCATACCCAGTCAAAATCACCTTGCTTCTCAGCAAAGTTCAGATAGTCATGCCAATTTTCTAACTGATCTCCATCAAGTGGCTTCACATGGAAATAGGGCCTCCGAATGCGAGTCTCAAAACAATGTATCTTTTCATCCAACTGACATGCTTCCTTATAGATATGTTCCCCAGTAAGTACATATTTCTGTACTGCTTTAGATCTAGCTAAGCCAACTGATGGCTCTAGCAGTTCTTTGATGATAGCAGAGATTTCATCATCCCTAAAATATTTTGGGACACCACTTTCAAGTACCAGGTCTGACTGTAATTCGGTGGCAGAATTCCGACAATCAAACTTCTCTTTCCAAGCAGCAGCCAACTTTTTGAAGCTGAAGAGAACATTAACTAAAATTTGGTAAGCAGACAATTAAAGGTAACACTACATGTTCCAATGAAGCAAGGACAAGTGACACAAAGAATATGTTTTCAGCGGAACAACTGATTTAAAAAGATTAGATACATATTATAAGTGATTCAAATGCAAGAGGTTAATTTCAAAAACCCAGCAATCAAGGTCGTTATTCAAAAGAATCAATCTATGGTTACCGGATAAGCAAGTGTGAAGGTAGAATTACTCAAAAGAGGGGTTGAGATATACCTATCATAATAATTATGTAACCTTTTACTTGGAAATCTCAAAGTTTGGATGTATATGTGAGCAAGAGAACTCCACCGCTGCTGAGAAAACTCAAATTCAAGGTATTTATCCCACAAGGTATGACATAGGTAATCCTTTCCAACAAACGACAAGGCTCTTTTGAATAATCTGTCAGATAATTTGAAGAAAACAATTTGGTTAAATAAGCAAGAAACATGCAAGGAACTGGAACAAAACTCCAGTATACTGGGATTACCTACGAACATTATGAGGATCTTCAAATGCTGAAACGCTGAAGCAACAATACTGAAGCCACACATCAACAGAATAGGTAGCCGCTTGAACGGCTCGTTCAAAGACTTCAACAACCTTGTCAGCAGTGCACAAGCGTGCCTTGTGATCAGCATACTTCAACCAGTAACCATAGCACAGAGGAAACTCGGCCAAGAAGGCGTCATACACCAAACATATTTTCTCTATGTCATCCTATAGTTACAAAAAAAGGGTAAAAACGAAATTAAAATAATAAAAAAAAAAAAATACACCGTTACAGCATACTACAAGTATGAAACAAAGAAAAATATAACAGTTCATGAAGGAGGAATTCGAACTTACATGAAATGTATTCTCAATCTCTGATAGGAGTAAAGTCCATTCATCAAAGTCTAATGAGCCTTCAGCTATAACTTGCTCAAGTCTGTGCTCATCAAAACCGACTGAAGCAAAATCACATTCAAACAACGCTCAGCAAACTTGAACATTTACATTCAAATAAGGAAAAGAGGATACAATTTTTTTTTTTTTCATTTTTGAAAAACAAAATCAAGAATTAATGGAGTAATGTGCGACTGTATTTCACCTGAAGAGTTTGGTTCCATGGACCAAGAATCTGGTTCGGAGTTCGAAATTTGCGTCGCCATTGCACCGGAAATCTAGGGAGGGATAATTAATTTAAAAGAGAAAAGCAAATAATCGTAAAAATCATCGGAAACTCAGCGTCTAACCGCCTCGTCTTCCCCCAACTCCACTTCTACTGTCTTTGCACTTCTGTTTAAACGCAATTGAATCACCTGTAAAAACGACATGTGGTCCATCAGTAAGTAGATTGTACGACATGTTGCTTAGTTACAGACGACACGTCGTCCGCATCACTCATCCTGTTTTTCAGATAACAAGGGAAGGATTTGCCTATCCAGGCAGCCAAACACTCAGAGACTCCTAAATCAACTCCGCTCACAACAAACTTTTCTTACAACTCGACTTAGCAACTGAGTTGACATTATTACGTTAACTCTACGACACTCATAACATTATGAATAATACTTTGGGTACTAATAGATGAGTACTAATATGTGTACTAACTAAAACATAGTACCTGTACTATGCACATAGTACGGGTACTATGTTTTAGTTAGTACACATATTAGTACTCATCCATTAGTACCCATAGCATCACTCTAACATTATCATGTCAGTTCTACCACACTTAAAAATACAAAATGATTTTGACTAGATATAAAAAACAATTGTTTTTTCATATAGAACGATCGTTCCTTATTGAATATGAAAGTTTAATCATTTCTTAAGACATAATCATTCTTTCATAAAGAACGACTATTTATTCCTTACGAAGGAACAATTGTACTTTCTTTATGAAGGAATAACCGTTCATTTTTAATTAAAACCATTTAGTGTCTTGAGTGTGGTGGAAACTGACATAATAGTGTCAACTCTATTACCATGTTAAGGTTCGTTTCTAGTCAAAGTTGTTTTGGGTATGGTGGAAGTTGACGTGACAGTACTATCTTTATTACTATGTTAAGGTTGTAAGAGTTTGAGTGTGGTGAGAGTTGACATGATAAACTAACTATGCTATCACGTTAAGGTTGTAAGAAAAGATTGTGAAATTTGATTGTAAAGCGTAATATTTTTCTTTTAAAATTTAACTAATTGACTTCTAATGGGATACAAAGTACAATTGAAATAAAATAAAATATTTTTAAATTTTATTAACTTAGTTTATACACTAAAAAGAAGGATTTAAATTCAGTTTTTTGTTTCTAATAACAAATAATACAGGAGCTTTTAAAAAAAATAAGTTTCCTCCATCACTATAGAAATTGAGCAGGGCTTTCTTGGATCAACAACCGACACACTTCAACTACAAGCATAATTTAAAAAAAAAATAGACGGCCACAATGAGACATAGAACAGAGGATCCGTCACGTGCCTGCACGCTATTGGCTAGATTTAAGGCCATGATTCTGTCACGACTCTCTCGAACTGAATAGTTCTGGCGTATAGTTACCCGCCACGTGAAATCTTGATTATGTCCCACCTGACTGGACCCCACTCCAAAGTCTAGATCCACGAACTCAGCCTGATTGTACTCGTACACGTAAGGACTTTAAATTAACGGTTAGAGCTTCACTTGAAACCGTCTGTCATTTCTCCCTCCAATAATATAAGTAAAGTTACTAGAGTACACTCTTTACACTTGTACCGTTCCCGGTATCTCTCGGCGGCAAAAAACGACGCCGTACTAACAACAACATCACCAGGACGAAGATGTTGTCTCTTTCACTCTCACCAACACGCACTCTCGCTCTTTCCAATAGGTACGAGGGGGTTGCTCTCTCGCACCGGACGAAGCTCCCCGGTGATCTCCCGCGCAGTTCAAGTTCAATCGCGTTTAATCCTCTCAGGTTTTTAAAATTAAAGTAAATTCGGTTGTTTTTAATGTAAAACGCGAAGAGTTTCTGTTTCTTATTTGAATTGCTCTGAATTTTTTGCGTTGTAGATATTCGGTCGATTTTAAAGAAACGGCGGTCGTGATGGCGAAGAAGAGAAGAGGATTAAGTGCGGTTTGTTACGCTTCACCTCTAACGGCTCGTAGTCTTCAGTGGATCTCTACCATTTCTTCAGCGTATTCTCCTCTCTTGATTCACAGAATTTATAACTTATATCGACTTTATTGATTTATATGGTTTGGTTTGTCCATGAAGTACGTTCTGATGAGATATGAATTAATTGTGTAGGGTTTTGATGGTTACGAAAGGCACAGCTATTCAGAAATCGTTTCTTGTTCCGTTATTTGCTCTACAAGCACCAGCAAGTATCATCTCTTGGATCAAGTAAGCCATTTTCAGGATATCTGGTGTTAATTTTCCATTTTCGTGTGATAAATTGTAATAGATTATAGCATGTCCGAGTATCTAGGAGTGCAAGTGTTGATTAGAGTCCGCAAAATCTTTACATTATTTCGAAACAAACGTGCGCAAACTCTCATAATTTTGTTGAGGTTGTGGATTTAAAAGAAAAAATTCGAATATTTGCAGAAGAGTAGGACAGTATAATTTTCTTTTGTTCTCTTAATGTTTTATTGATATGGGAAATATTGTTGTTACTTGTTTTCTTGCCTCTTTTGAGGCTTATTTTAGCTTAATTTGCACTTTGCAGAGGTGAATATGGTGTTTGGACTGCATTCTTGGCACTTCTTGTTCGTCTCTTCTTCTTTATTCCTGGTAAGTTTTGATGATAATTTCTTAGATTTACTGTGAGCTTTGGAAATCTTACTTGGGAGATTGCTTATTCTCAAATGGCATTCTCATTTCAGAATGACATGGCTCTCATGAACTTAATCATATTACTTTCTGGTTCAGGGTGATGTAATGATGAGATTTTTAGATTAATTGTCTTATATTATTTTTGTAAAATGCCTCTTTAGGAGTTAAGGGACTTTCATTAATTTTTCAAATGATGACCTTTGATGTTCACCTTTAGTTTTGCTAATGTTTAGAGTTATTTATTTATTATATTTCTCCTTGTGGCCATAAAATTTGTCATCTTTAATCTAATCTGGGGGTGCAAAAATCTGAAAATTGTTAGTGCTGTAAATCTGGAAGGAGGGGAGATGAATTTTAGTTAAACTGAAATCTTGACTGAAGATTTTTAACTTTTCGTGGACCAGTGATATCACTGCTGATATATATCTCTCAACTGAGACTTGTACTTCTTCTAAATAATTTAGGATTGGTTTCTGGTAATTTGATTTTTGACAATGACAAAATTTAAAGGTTGTGTTTGAAGTGGCCTTAACAGTTCCTATATTTGTCTTCATTTTTGTAGGGGAGCTTGAGCTACCATTGATGGCATTACTCTTGGTTCTTGTGACTCCTCATCAAGTCATGAGTCAAAGGCAAGTAGATGTGTTGTGTGGGAATAACTGAAATTGTTGCTTTTTTTTTTTTTTGCCTTCTATTTCTCATCTTGGTAATTTCATTGTATCGCAGGGGAGCGCAACCAGGTGTGATTATCGCCTTGCTGATTGCAGGATATCTTGCTTTCCAGCATTTTTCACGGGCAGGAAGCTTGCAAAAAGCCTTTGAGCAAGGCTCAGTTATTGCCACCTTGGGCATCATTGTTATCACCATCGTCTCATGCTTTTTCTTGTTCTGAAATCATGGAGTTGTTCTGTCAATCATCTGTAAATTACTGTCTACTTAAAGGGTTACTGAAATAAGCGAATCATTACGATTCCTGATCCTCTCTTCTTGCTCATGTATAAAAATGCGTGCAATTTCTTTGACAGAGAATATTTTTGTATGCCCAGAATATATTGGCTTGATTTGTTATGTAGAACTACTATTTACAAATTAAGCTTGCTTCTGACTTTGTTGTTTCTTAATCACAAAAGGAGACAAGAGAAGAGAGGAAAAAGAAGGTTTTTATAATTACTCATCAATACTCCTGTTCTTGGTTAGAGTATGTAAAATTATAGTTAGACGAAATATAAATTATGGATATATTTGAAGGGTTTTCTTATTACTGTCTTGTTGAATTAATTGAAGCTGATGCGATATCTAAAATGACTACATATAAAGTGTCTCTCTAATAATTTATTTGGCTAATACTGCAGATAAAAGTATAGCTATTTTAATGTGTCTAAGGAGTACAAGAACCTAAGCATTCTATGTGTCTTCTTCATATCTCCAAGGCTGCTTTTGTCAACTAATATTGCATTACATAGAAGTATAGTAATCAATCTTATGGTGAGAAAAAAAGGCCTTGAGATAACATCTTCTTGTCGATCTCATTGCTGGATTACGAGTTCAACAACTGTGGTGGCAAGCAGGGGAATCTTCATCTTGTTGCAGAATTTGGATTTGTTGTCTGAGTTAGACATAATTTTCAGCAAGAAGTGACCTGATAAACCCTGTTGCGGCCAACAGAATTAGGCCGCAGGATAGTGAAGTGGCTGAGCTGGGGAGCCCAGTTGGTTCCGCAGAGCCGTAGACTGTTGAATCAGGTGAGGTTGGAGTCGTTATATCAGGCGTAGTTGGAGTTGTATATGGGTTTGTTGTAGTTGGAGATGGAGGCGGGTTGGCCATAGCCGGAGGAGTTGGGCTGTAATAGGAAATGAAATGAGCATTTTGTGCTTTTCATTTTGACAAGAGAAATTGACATACTGAAAGATTTACCTAGTTGTTCCTGTGCTTGATGGATAGTGACAGTTTCCACTACCTGCAAAAAATCCAAGGATTAAGAAGTTTTAATTCAAATCACGTAAAGGGTAGTACTCAAGAACAACTGAATTCGATCAATTGAAGCATCGGTTTTTCTTCTCTGATGGGCATTCCTTACTCGGGTCAGTGCTGGTAAGTTGGGCCGCTCCTCCGAAAACACAGCTAGTTGGAGATGGATTCTTGTGGTAGTAATCGTTGAATGCAAAAGACGCATGGTCATGGAGAGTGCTTGGATTATAGCAACTTCCACCAGGTTGAATCTGGGAACAGTCTGCACCTCCATAGCCACAAGCATAATCAAGAGCAACCTGCAAGCTGGTTTCGGAAGCAGATGGGTTTGCAATACACCATTGACCACCAGATGATCCTGGAGCTGTTGATCCTGGAGGTGTTGATCCTGGAGTTGTCGATCCTGGAGGTGTTGATCCTGGAGTTGTCGATCCTGGAGGTGTCGATCCTGTTGATCCTGGAGGTGTTGATCCTGGAGTTGTCGATCCTGGAGGTGTCGATCCTGTTGATCCTGGAGGTGTTGATCCTGTTGATCCTGGAGGTGTTGTGGATGGAGTTGGGTTTGTGATTGGTGTCATGGTGGTTGTTGGCGGCGGCGGCGAGTTTGCTGGATTGACAATAGGAGTGGTCGGATTGGTGCCTGGATTTGTACCTGGATTTATACCTGGACTTGTACCTGGATTTGTTGGGTTCACGATGGGAACAGTATCAAATTGGGCGGTGAACAGGTCTACATTTTCTAGTTTTCTGGTTTTCTGGATTGCTTCCAGTTGAGGTTTCTCTGCAACACTTGAACCTGAAGAAACCGAAAACAGGATAAGTTCTTTTCTTTTCTTATGTACTTACCATTAAAGAAAAGGAAAAGAAGCTGCTGAGTTTGATGCCAAAGAAACATGCAAAATCCAGAAATCTCACTGCATGTTCTATTGATAAGATACTTTATCCCAAACTAATAGTACAAGACATAACATGTTGCTGCCACCAAGTACAAAACCAAACTAAAAGTTGTAAAGCAAAGAAGCCTAGAGTAAATGGATAAAGAAAAGAAATATAAACTTTTGATTTGAGTCTACCAATTTCTTATGCATGGCCATGTGAGTGGAAAGTGGGTTTTTACAAATTTTCAAACTAATGACTAATTGGGTCTTTTTTTTATTATTATTGTGAGGCTAAGATATATCAGTTTTAATATAAAGATTAAATTACTTGTAAAATGGTCACAAAACTTTGCAACATGTTATAACTACAAACCACTATTTTAAAACCCAGACCAAACCGGTTGGTTCAATCGTTGACCGACCTTAACTCTGGTCTGATTCAATTTAAACCCATTAATATATGAAAAATCACTTTGGACTGCGGTAGGACCGGTGGAATAGTACGAAACTCTATAGGTCAAGACAATACTATTAATTGATTGGAAAAAGCATCAACCACCTTGTGCAAACTAGGTTTAAAATTTCAAGCTCAAAAATGAAGAAAAAGAGAGAGAAATAAATTTAGAAATTAAGAGTCTACTAGCTGAAGATATAATTTCATTGTTCATGCATGCAAATCTTTCTTTGTATTTATGAATATAGTTTTGAAATGTTGAGTTTGACATGTAGAAGAAAACAAAAATGTGTAGACATTAATGTGGATTACTTACATGAACTGAAGAGAAGATGATGCAAAAGAAGAAAGGTGAAACATTGGAGAGGAAATCTTGAAGAACCCATGTTGTCCCCAAGCTGGTTTCTGCAAGGATAGTATGATGATTATTTGGTCTTTGTTTGTAAAGAAGAATGATATAGAAGCTAAGTTATATAAAACAAGAGAAGGAAGGGAGGGAGGGAATTATTCCAAAGAAGGGATTAAGCATCATGTCTAGAATTGTTATATAAATAAAATCATTGAAGAATCAAAGTTTCCTTGAACTGATGAGAAAGAAAGAATAAAAGAAAACTTGAGAAAGGAGGAATTAGATAGTTGGGATTAGCAAGCAAGGGAAGGTGCACAAAAGAGGAAAAAAGTATAGGAAGAGGGAAAGTTTAAAGAGTGATCTACTGGGTATTCAAATCTAAGCTGTGTTTATTTGATAATTAATTTACTTAATAGTGATGGTTTGGCATTTTTCTTTTCACTTTTTATGCTTATCTTTCTACTGTTTATGGGACTGAATCAAAAGTAAAAGGTGGGTAGAGATTTGAGGTTGTGGTAAGTGATAGTAATAAACAAAAATTTTAGGGCAATGAGGTGTATTGAGTACATATTCGAATTGCTATAAACAGTAATTAAAAAGGATTCCTTGTATGAGAATAATATAAAGTTAAGTGATATTTGTCTTGCTAATTGTCAACATTGTAAAAAGTCTTTCAGTTTAGATCCAATATTAACTTCTTCATTAGAGTTGGGACTATGGGAAGGTAACTTATTCAATAACCAATTGAGGTAACTTTTACTGGGCTAGAAGAAACCATCTTCATATTTAAGTATTATTCCATGTTCATCGGAGATGTGTTTGAACTGGGTTTTGGTTAACTAAACCCTCAAATTTTGTTGATTCTTTTTCCTCTTTAAGATGTGTTTGAATTGGGCTTTGGTTAACTCTTCAATGGGTTTTGTTCAAAACCTCGTCTTGTTTTTGTGATCAACGGTATCCAGGTCAATTTGTGCACAAAATCAACTAATCCCCCAAACCTTGAATTGAACAACCAAGTAAAACCCCTCTTTGGCAACCCTATTAGTGTCGAGGGGAACTCAAAAAATCCATATTGGACCCCTTTACTCTTTTACCCCAGTGATACTTACAAACCCTCGAAATTTGTAGATTCTTTTTCTTTTTAGGGTAATCCACTGGATGTGAGCATTCAAAGAATATGTGTAAATTCTAAAATTGAAAAAATAAAATAAAAAACAAATAAATAAACAAAGAGCAATGTAATCCACTTTAAAGTTTTGAATACAGATAAAGACTTACAAGAATAAATTTGACTATTGTCCTGAAAATGCCTATATTGACTTCATATAAAAACTTACAGATTTTTTTTGTGTTGGTAGTGAAATGGCTATATTCAAAATGCATCCAAGGTCGATTCTTGTGGTCTCGATTTTCCAGAGTTTTGTGTTTCAATGTTGAAGCAGTTGGTTGGTGTTAAACCAGAAATCGGAAGAACTCAGAACTCTTGAAACCAGTCAAATTCATTGCTTCTCCCATGTCGGACATTTATTTCAGAACATGGAGCACCGGAACCATTGATGAGTTATATCAATTATGCTCTCCATTGTTTACAGACAATAATTTTTCAGGACGGGCGTGGCAGCTTTGACATGCGAGGGAAAGCAGAATACAGAGCCCATCCGAAAAACTGTTTTTTTACCCTTGCCGATGCATGTTGCACTGTGAAAGATGTTGGGTGACATCATTCCAAGCTGCAGATAGAGAATTCTTTGATCAATTAGAGCTCAGTTTTAGTATATTGAAAAGTATGAAGATTTAATACCTGGGAAACTTCCATAATCAGGCTCGATTCCGTTGCCATTTATGTCCATATGATTTGGTGTGACATACTTCCCAATGGTGACAACCACACCAGATCCATCACGAAGTTCGAACACAGATTGAATCAATCCCTGATAAAAGCAGCATGACATGGCAACCAGTTTAAGAGAGTGTGTGAAGCAGCTGATATTGATCAAAATGAAAGCGAAGGAAATTAATACTGGACCTTGCCAAAAGTCCTTTCTCCCACAAGAACGCCTCTACAGTTATCATGAAGTGCAGAGGCAACCTGAAATGAGAACTTCCATTAATGATACTGAAGTGTAAAACGACATGAGTAAGCACCCATGATTTTATCAACTGAGCTTACTCACAATTTCACTTGCACTAGCAGTTTTGTTGTTCACCAAAACCTGCATAAAGGGAACATATTAAAAGCACACATGTAACTTGTTATTGGAAAACCATATTATAATATCCATCCGGCACCACTGCTTCAAGAAGGAATTGAGTTGGAAAGCATCAAATTATGAGAGCACAAAAAAATGCAACAGATTAGTAGACGATCACACTTCAATCTAAATCTATCTTCTAAGAAGGGTTTAAGATTGTCTCGGTTGTTCTTTCACCCACTTTGATGATGAACAACTGGCAACAAAAGTTTCAATTGGCGCCTTAATAATTGATTCATCACACACACAAAAGCCAATGTCTTAGTTCAGAATTAGTTTTTTGAAAATGAGCTATGCCTCTGACCAGCTTCTAATAATTGGCAATCAAGTGTTTTCTGGTATCTCTTATTTTGACTAAAGCCAAGCTGAAGCAGCTAAACACTCAACTCAGCTGTGTACATTCGCACCCTTACCAAACTAAGTCTGTAGTAGCACCAGATTGGTCTCATTTGTCATGGGACAAGTTGTAACCATGGAATAACAAGATACAATTTATCATAAAGGTTTTCACTCAAGGAATATGCAGAACACTACTACTGCTGCCTACTTCAATATATTAGTTTGCATGCTTGAATGCATAGTGATTACTCAAATATAGTTATATTGAGTCAATGTATCATGCAGTACAAGTCCATGCCAAATATAGTCACTGGTGACCATGTACCATCTTCTTAGACAACAATTAGACTGAGACTGACGCAATACCAATCAAATGAGAGACTTCCAGACTGCCACTATAACAAGGCTAATTCAACAAGTGATGAAACAAAAAAAGAGTTGTCATCCTTTTATAGGAAATGTAGATTCCATACAATAACAGGAGCGGTAACCAATGGTGAAGAATCTGCAATAATAGTCTTTTGGTACTGGGGATCCCTTCCAACTGTGTAAGTGATCTGTTCATGTACAGCATAAGATAACAAAAAAGACAGAACATAGTAAGTTCAAAGTTCCAGAACTTAAATATATGCATCAAATAAGAATATTCACTCCAGAGAAAAATGATATTCCTATTATTAAATTTTTCATAAAATAAATAAACAGAGCAAATTATGTTATCTTCACTCTGACAGTATCAGATGATCAGACTGTTCCAGTCTCTAACAGTAGCTATAAGGAGTATATGAATTACTAGTTGAAGAGAAAAAGAAACTGGTGGTGGCCAACAAAGAACTCAACATTGTAAACAATTCAAATTCCTCCACCATCAGTTTAAATGTATCAATGGAAAGAGTCAAGAAGCATGGAAAGGTATCATATGTCATTAGGTGCTATGCATTTGTGAAGTTTAAAAACATGAAAGAGTGTATGCATTTTAAAAATTTAAATCTCATAAAGTAGCATACCGTTTCCCCTTCATTCAGAAAGAGTTTGGCAATTTCAATTCCAGCCTGAGACAATCGAATGGGTAGAATCAAATTTCATACTACATAGTCAAACATACACACAAATTAAAGTACATAAAAATTCAGCTAGTGTCCAAGTCAAAATGAATTTGATTTTAGCAAACATAATTATAGAATCATAGTGATAACTAAATTGCATTTCCTGTTATTAAATGTCACATTCAATTGCCATGAATGTTGAATGGCAAGCTGTAATGTCACTGGGTCATCTTCCTTTAAATAACAACACAAATTTTTTATTTATTAATCATATGACTTGATAGGATTCTCCACTGGCTGATAGTGTTGGGAATATAATCTCAAAGTAGCATTAATCTATTTGTTGACCTAGCAATGGTTGAAAATATATTCGTTTTCTCTATTTACTTCAACTTCTCCAGCATCTTTTTCCTTGCTAATAATAAGATTATTTTCCCCATGAGATATAACAAGAAGAAAGAGGTACCAAGAGTAGCATTCTATTCATTCAGTGTCAAAGAGGAATGGTCTTTTGACTAGGAACAAACATATCAATTAAAAACCTAAGTAACTTGAATCAAATAAAACTGCCAGAGTAATGGGATTACATATTATGAAACAACTTAACCCATAATATTAGAGAGAGGCCGAATATCCTAAATATTAGATAACAGTAAAAGCACAAATGGCTAATTTAACAAATATACCTGTACTAGTCCACCAAGATTATCTCTAAGATCCAGAACGAAAAATGAAGCACCCATGTCTTGAAGTCGCTTCATTGCTGCAATAATCATTATTTCCTTAAATTGATAATTAGATTATATAGCTAGATTATATGAAAAAAGTGAAAATCCTGCTGTACGCATAAATAATTCTACCAGCATCACAAAGAATCCAAATTAGCAAACCAGACATTGAAATTCAGATTGAGACAAGAAGTTTGGAAAGGGTGCAGTGCATAGAGTCACGAAAAAAAAAAAAACCTTCATAAACTTCAGGACACTTGGTAAATTTAGCTCAACAACTTTCATAAAAAGAAGCACCCAGCAGGGTATTATAAAGCATGCAAGCCATGAAATTGTGTCTAAGCAGTAGAGTTTTAATTTTGATTTTCACGACTTTAAATAGTTTTTACAATGTACTGCAATAATTACTGTATTATTTAGTCTAATTACTTGAACATTTACCTGTGACCAAATCTTTTCTAGCCAAAGCATTGAACTCTCTTAGGTGCATATACCCAACAGAAGTAGAGCCATTGTCTATTTGTTCCAACCGGTAAAAGACCGGGGTTCTGGCAACAAGTTGTCTTTGGACTTCTAAGGATTGAATTGGTCCACAGTTGCCATGCTTGACCTGAAATTTGCAGGAAGCAATTTTAACAATCACTAAATAAGATACACAACAAAAACAGGACATAGAAAAACCTGACTATACGGCTTGTTTAGAATCACAACCTCAATTGTTACAAATGTTTCATTGGGGCCTTGTAATAAAGATGACACTTCAAAAGCTGATTTTCCTCTAACATCCACTCCATTGACAGCTAAGACTTCATCACCCTATTAAGAGGAAGAATAAAGTTAACAATAAATATCATGTAAAAAAACACAAACCAATAACTCCAAATACACCATTTTCAACATGCAATTAGGGAGTGGGGTGCAGATAAATATAAAAATCCTACAGTTCAAGCTACGTGTATAACAGCAACTTATGCTATTGAAGAAGTGAGAGGGCCACCCGCTAGAAAAAATAAAGAATTATGCAGTTGAAGATGTCATTAGTTGAGCAAAAAGTAAGGGCGAATATCAATGCACTTGACTTGATCTTGTTCACTTATATAATCAAATAGGCAAATATACAAATATATGTTCAGCAATCTTCTTTCCGAAGGAGTAGTTTGTTAATTGTGATGTTCAGTTGCAGTATTAGTTTTTCTTGCCATATTTCAATGTTGGTAAGATTGTTTTTTTTTTTAACTTTTTCCCATTTTGAACCCAAATCAATCCTTCTACAAATATCAGGAATGAAAATATAAGTTTTTAAATATAACTGAATTAGTATTCTGCCTGAAATGTAAAAGAACCAGACAAAAATAAAACATAAAAACAATTGAATACCGGTCAAGCGATGCTCATTCCAGTACCTGTCTTACTCCAGCAACATGCGCTGGACCATCCAAGATAAGTCCCAGTACCTTCAATTTTACACCTCCATTATCATCAGGAATCTCCCTAAGGTTTATCCCAATACCAGACATGTCATACCTCGCCATCTTGGAGAACTTTCAACAGTGACATATGCCATGTAATAAGACACTGAAAAGTCTCTCAGTAGTGAAAGCAAGTATATAACACTAAACAGATAAGACTCAAACCTTGAAACTAAAACAACAAAATGCATTCAAAAACTCTATTTTATTACCTCAGCAGGCGAAAGAAAACGAGTATACGGATCGCCCAAACTGGCCAACATTCTTTTAATCATACCATGCGCCTTTGATCTTGTTTGAATTGAAGAAGCCAAAATATCCTCCCGTTTTTGCTGAATTCAGATTACAAGTTAAGATTTTAAATTATATTTGAAGTTTCTAAAAATTATATTCGATGAGAAACAGCACTAGCGCTGAAAAGACTATTACATAATCATGATATTACCTGCCAGTTTTGTGGAGTCCAGCGATGGCGTCCAGTGTCAAGAAAGCTATCATTAACAATCTGCCAAGCCTCTTCCACAATTCCTTCATTCGTCACCACTTGAGACTCACTCTGAGCCAACGCTTCTATCTCGTCGTCTTCGCGACAAGACTGAGTTAAAGAAACGTCAGAAGGTGAAGGTGAGGTTGACTGTAGAGACGGAGAGTCTATCGCGAGTGAAGACGGTGAAGAGAGCAAAAGATTGAGCGAGAGAGCTCCGGTGAAGAGAGCCTTTAGTGCTTTATTCGGCCAGCAGTTGCTGTTGGAAGTGGTGGCGTGAAGGAGTGGAGGTTTGTGAGCTGGAGTTGAGGATGGAGAGAGAGGGAGTAGTGAAGAGGAGGCGTTGCAGAGTAGAATCCTCATCTTGCGCAGATGAAGATGTGAGTTGATTGGAGCTTCAGGTTCAAGTAACTGGAGGTTAAGAATAAGATACAGAGTGTTTGGATCATCTGAAAGTGATGTTGATACATCACAAACATCTCACTTTAACTAGACATGGCCCGCGCTTGCACAGGTATATTTATTCAATGTATTTGAAATAAATTACAAACAAATTTGTTTAAACAAAATAAACTAATTAAATTAAGATATAATAATTATTAAATTATATAAATTTTAAAATAAATATAAATTTTATATATACACAAAGTTATATTAAGATAAAATTAATAATTATATCTGTATAATTATTAATATTAATTATAGGTAAATATTATTAAATCATTCATTCAACTTGAGAAGATTACCTAAATATTATATGGTCTAATTATATTTTCAAGATCATCACCTTGTACAATTGATATTATTTTTGTAAAAATGTCTTTGATATTTCATGTCAGTATTTTGTAGTGAATCGTGTATGATATTTAAGATCTCTTGAATATTATCAAGATCAACTATTTAAACTCAAAATTTATACTGATATTTCGCAATTCCTGTAACTTATATTCATTTTCAAGTTGCGTTACGCGAGTATGTTTATTGTATTTTTTTACATTATTATTGGTTTTTTTGTGTTTTAAATATATATTTTCTATATTGAAGTTCATTTTATAATGAAGTGATAATTAAAAAATTAATAAATAAAATATCTACAAATTGAACTCAAAGTCTATATCATCATGGTTCTTCTCAAATATGTCACCATTTAAAATCTACAACAAAAGTTTAAAACTTTGTCAAGAAAAGCAAAAAAAAATTGCAGGATAACCCACTAGGTATTATTGATAAGTCTATAAATAAATCACGAAAAGAAAAACTTTGTTGAAAAATGTGAACTTTTAATCAAGAGACTTGCAGAGCCAAAGAAGGAAACTTATTTTGATTGTTGAGAAGAGAAAATTAATTATTTTTATTACTATTATTTTAGAAATTAAAAAAAAAATTAAGAATGTTAAGAAGAGAACTCGCATAGAAAGCAATAACTACTCTAACAGTATAATCTATAAGCAACTTAATTGAAGTATTGAAGAAGTCATGAAGATAAAGGTCATGTGACACAAATCTATTTGCTGCAATTAGAATTCACCACCACCTATAGCAAAAAAAAAAAAAAAAATTTGATGATAGCATCCTGAAGAAAGAAGATAATTGTAAAACCCACAAATCAAACAACAAAATCAATCCAAAAATCAACAAAAAACGAAATAAAACAAATACAATTAAAACTACATATCAATTTTTGTTTGCCTTTGTCATCACTAAAATTAAATTTATTTTATATGTGTGATTATATGAATAGTTCGACAGCATGTCTATAGTTATCATAATTCACCGTATAATATGTCAAATTAAAGTCCTATCTTTCTAGTTTCCAAAGATTCAAATTGCTCATCAATTGGATTTTTATTGAGAAATCGAGAAACAGGGGAAACCAAAATGTGTGTGATAATAAAAGGAATAGTTCGATAGTGGCGCTACAGTTATCCAAACTAAGCATATACATATCAAATTAAAGCCCTGTATGTCTAGTTTCTAAATATTAAAACCTCTCTTTAATTGGATTTTTATTAAGCAAGCTATAGTCAATTTATTAATGATTGTTCAATGGAAATCGAAATGTGTGTGATGATAAAATGAATGGTTCAACAATGGGCTACAGTTATCAAAATTAAGCGTATAATATATCAAATTAAAGCACTATCTATCTAGTTTCTAAATTCAAATCTCTCATCAATTGGATTTTTATTGAGAAAGTTATGGTCAATTTCCTACTGACTGTTCAGTGAAAACAAAAATGTGTGTGATGATAAAAAGAATTGTTCGACAGTGGGGCTACAGTTATTTAAATTAAGCATATAATATATCAAATTAAAGTTCTATCTGTCTAGTTTCTAAAGATTCAAACCTCTTATCAATTAGAGTTTGATTGAGCAAGTTATGATCAATTTACTACTGATTGTTCAGTGAAAATCAAAATGTGTGTAATGATAAAATGAATGGTTTACTAAAGCTACATGGTTCAGCATCAAACATCATTTGATATTTGTTAAATAAATGAAATTAGTTATATTCAGTAACAACCTCTATTCATGATATATGTATGTAACATAAAAAGATTTTAACAAAAAGAGATAGAACAATTACAATTAAAACTAAATATCAATATTTGTTTTCCTTTAAGGATAATAATAATGGTTCGGCATATTATAAATGGTTTACTAAAACTACATGGATCGGCAACAAACATTAGATGATATTTGTGATACAAATATTTATATTTACCAACAACATGTTTTTGATATGCATGTAACATAAAAAAATATCAACAAAAAGAGATAGAACAAATACAATTAAAACTACATATCAATATATGTTTTCTTTTGTCATTACTAAAATTGAATATGTTTTTTGTGTGTGATGATAGAATGAATGGTTCGGCCACAATTCTATAGTTATCTAAATTAATCATATAATATATCAAATTAAAGTTCCATCTTTCTAGTTTCCAAATATTCAAATCGCTCATCAATTTGATTTTTATTGAGTAAGTTATGACGAATTTACTATTGATTATTCAGCAGAATTCAAGAAACTGGGGAAACCGAAATGTCTGTGATGATAAAAGAAATGGTTTAGAAGTAGGGTTACATTTATCCAAATTATGCATATAATATATCAAATTAAAGATCTATCTGTCTAATTTCTAAATATTCAAACCTCTCATCAATTGGAGTTTTATTGAGAAAGTTATGGTAAATTTACTACTAGCTGTTTAGTGAAAACCAAAATGTATGATGATAAAATGAATGGTTTGGCAGTGGGGCTACAGTTATCCAAATTAAGTGTATAATATATCAAATTAAATCCCTGTATGTCTAGTTTCTAAATATTCAAACCTCTCATCAATTGGAGTTTTATTAGGCAAGTTATGGTCAATTTACTACTGATTGTTCAGTGGAAACCAAAATGTGCGTGATGATAAAAGGAATGGTTCGACAGTAGGGCTACAGTTATCCAAATTAAGCGCATAATATATCCAATTAAATCCTATATGTGTCGTTTTTAAAGATTTAAAATTCCCATCAATTGGATTTTTATTGAGTAAGTTATGGCTAATTTACTACTAACTGTTCAGTGGAAATTGAGAAACAAGGAAAACCAAAATGTGTGTGATGATAAAAAAATGGTTCATAAGTGGGGCTACATTTATCCAAATCAAGCATATAATATATTAGTTTAAAGCCTCGTCTGTCTAGTTTCTAAAGATTCAAACCTCTCATCAATTAGATTTTTACTAAGCAAGTTATTGTCAATTTACTACTGAATGTTCAGTGATAGTCAAAATATGTGTGATGATGAAAGGAATGGTTCGACAATGGGGCTACAGTTATCCAAATTAAGTGTATAATATATCAAATTAAAGCATTGTATGTCTAGTTTCTAAATATTCAATCCTCTTATCAATTGGATTTTTATTGAGCAAGTTATGATCAATTTACTACTGATTGTTTAGTAGAAACCGAAATGCTTTTATTAAATAAATGAAATTAGTTATATTCAACAAAAAGAGATAGACAATTACAATTAAAACTACATATCAACATCTGTTTTCCTTTAAGGATAATAATAATGGTTCAGCATATTATAAATGGCTTACTAAAGCTATATGGTTCGGCAACAAACATCATATGATATTTGTGATACAAATAAAATTTGTTATATCCAACAACAACCTGTTTTCGATATATGTATGTAACTTTAAAAAATATCAATAAAAAGAGATAGAATAAATACAATTAAAACTAGATATCAATATTTGTTTTCCTCTGTCATCACTAAAATTGAATTGGTTTTATGTGTGTGATAATAAAATGAATGGTTCAGCCGTAGGTCTATAGTTATCCAAATTCATCGTATAATATATCAAATTAAAGCTCTATCTTTCTAGTTTCCAAATATTCTCATCAATTGAATTTTTATTAAGTAAGTTATGACCAATTTACTACTGATTATTTAGTGGAAATCGAAAAACAGGGAAAACTAAAATTTTTGTAATGATAAAAGGAATGGTTCGGTAGTGGGGTTGCAATTATCCAAATTAAGTGTATAATATACCAAATTAAAGTGCTATCTATCTAGTTTCTAAAGATCCAAACTTCTCATCGATTGGAGTTTTATTGATCAAGTTATGATCAATTTACTACTGATTGTTCAATGAAAACTAAAATGTGTATGATGATAAAAAGAATGGTTCGGCAGTGGGGCTATAGTTATCCAAATTAAGTGTATAATATATCAAATTAAAGTCCTATCTGTACAGTTTTCAAATATTTAAACCGCTCATCAATTGGATTTTTATTAAGCAAGTTATGGCCAATATACTACTGACTGTTTAGTGGAAATCGAGAAACAGGAAAAACCGAAATATGTATGATGATAAAAGGAATGGTTCGATAGTGGGGCTATAGTTATCCAAATTAAGCATGTGATATGTCAATTTAAAACCTTGTTTGTCTAGTTTTTAAAAATACAAACCTCTCATCAATTGGATTTCTATTAAGCAAGTTATGGTCAATTAACTACTGACTATTCAGTGGAAGGCGAAATGTGTGTGGTGATGAAATGAATGATTCGACAGTGGGGCTACAGTTATCCAAATTAAGCATATAATATATCAAATTAGAGCATTGTCTGTCTAGTTTCTAAAGATTCAATCCTCCCATCAATTAGATTTTTATTGAGCAAGTTATGGTCAATTTACTATTGATTGTTCAGTGGAAATCAAAATGCGTGTGATGATAAAATGAATGATTTACTTGACCCAGATTTAAGGAATTATCATATTAGGACTGATAAGAAATATTTCAAATAAAACCTATTAATTGGAAAACGAAATCAGCCAAAATAAATTCATTTAACATATATATTCGCACATCAGCAGAACATAAATAATTAATCATTCATATAACAAATTAAAATACACGAATGTTTTTACAGAAAACATATTCAACACAA